CCTGCAAGAATCAGTCCTAAGCAGAGCTGGGTATGGTCCAAAACCAAAATACACAAGAACAAACTGGGAAAGAAAGACCCAGGGCTGGACTGGACAGAGGGCCAAAGTGGAACTAGTGCAAGGGGCTGGAGCAAATGCCCTGCACGTGAGAGGCCCCAAGCTTCATGTCCAGCACCACATGCTGCACCGCTGAAGCACCGCCTGATGTCACCTAAGGGCTCAGCAAGAGTCTGAGTACCAAACTGTCAATGGACCCTGGGCCCCAAGCCCAGCTGAGGAGCCCCCATCCAAAAAGAAAACAAATAGGACGATGCAGCTTGCTCAGAAGCTAGAGTGCATGCTTTGTCTACGAGGTACCAATACCACAAGGGACCCTGGTCACTACCAGGTGTAACCCATGCCTCCCCACCCCCGCCTTCTAATAAACAATAAAAAAGAAAGACCCAGGGAATCCAGAAATTCTATTTTAACACGGCATTTCCAAGGAGAGGGTGCAGGGCTGGTTTTCTCATTTGCCAATACATATCTAAGACACCACAGAGATGACAACTGCTGACATGTATTACCTTGTTAGCGATTGTCTTCATTCTCCCCTAACAACTAAAATGTATTTTACTGCCTTTCCAGCTACTTAACAGAGTAGATGTACAATGCATATAGAACAGGAAAATAAATGTCTGGTGAACTAACTCATGAGATAAATTTTAAGATTACAGTGTGCTAAGGGATGCCACACCCATCACACACTCTCGACTTATCACACTGAAAAGCAATTTTCAGTCTTTGCTAGACCTTCCCCAGTTTCCTATGCTGATTTGTCATTTCACCAACCTGCAGAGGACCGTGGTCTCAGTCTTGACTTCCTGTCTTATCTATCTTAAATACACCCATTTTACAGTGTGATCTTTCTGGTCACATGGTTTTACATATCATTGGTTCATGGGTGACTCTGAAATTTCTATCTCTTTATCATAGAATTTTCCCATAGCTCCAAACCTTTTCACCTACTCAGCACTCCCAGTTGGATGCCTAATGGGTATTTGAAACTTACTCTGTCCTTGTAATCTTCATTCCTATGCTTCCAGCTGCTCTACCCAAAACGGCAGGCTTTGGTATCAGTGCTGTCTCTCTTGCAACTCTTGTCCAGTTCAATAGTAAACCCTAGTAACTTCTTTAAACACCCAGAATTCATCTTGCCCCAACTTTATTGTGTCTCTGTTCTAGCATCAGATCATTTGGCAAAAGCTTTGAAAAGAAAAAAAAAGAAAAAGAAAAAAATCAGTCTCCCTGCTGTCTCCTTGGCCTGTCCCCCTTTCAACAGATTCCCAGTGTCAGAGTGAACAAGGTACTCTACTGGTCTAACTCTTCCACTGGCTTTTATCTCAGAGGAAAAGCTCTGACAATACCTCAGTGACGGCTACACCGCCCATGACATTCCTTCACTGTCTTCCCCAACCAGTCCTAAAACAGACCGATCTGTCCCACTCTTGTGTCTCTGCCATGAACCCCACTTTCCAAAGTCTATACTTTTACACTCACCTGCTCTCTATCTGCTGGCTCTCCCCCTCATCCTTCAGGTGTGAACTCAAGCATTACCTTCTCAATAAGCTTCACCACCTGAAATGGAAACTTTCCCTCTCTCCATGGGCATACATCGACCAATACCCAGAGATTACACTGGCCGTCTGCCTCTCCTCAGGCCCCTGGAGTTGCTCGAGCACCTGTTGAGCTTGCTGCTAGACCTACACCTGTACCCATAATGCTGCCAGGTACAGGGAATGAATGAACAAAACTAGGGAAGGAATAAATGAACTCTCTTTTCATCAGATCTTCTCCACTTCTGGCCACCCTGGGCAGCAATCATCAGAGACTTCCTAAGGAGACAATATTTGGATTTATACAAAGTGGGGAAAGCATCAGTTGAAAGGTTAATGGCTTTGTCCAAAGAGTCTATCATACCTGTTCTCTAATCAACAGACAAAAGACAAACAAGATCATTGCAGCACTCTTTACAGTAGCCAGAAACTGGAAGAGACCTGAGTGCCCAAGAACAGATGACTGGTTAAAGAAACTTTGGTACATCTACACAATGGAGTACTATGTGGCTCTTAGAAAAGATGAAGTCATGAACTTTACATACAAGTGGTACAATATGGAAAGTATCATGCTAAGCGAAATGAGTCAGAAAGAGAGGGATAGACATAGAAAGATAGCATTCATCTGGGGGATATAAAATAATAAAATATGAGATTAATACCCAAGAATAGCTGAGAGCAACACCAGGAGAATTACTCCATAACTTAGAGGCCAGCTGGGTATTCTAGAGGAAACGACAATTCAGATAGAAAGGGGAACACCAAGTGGAGGGTGTTTGGAGGATCCTCCCAGGAGGGGAGATGCAGGTTGAAAGTAGACTGGACTGAACATGTTCGCCACTCAATGCCTCTTTGGCTGATCACAGCGCCCAGGAGGAGAGAGAGAACAGGGGGGAATGCCCTGCCACAGTGGCAGGGGGAGATGGGGGGATGGGAGGATGGGGGGGGAGGGATATTATCCTGGTGGTGGAAAATGGGCACTGGTGGAGGGATGGGTATTTGATCGTGGTATGACCGAGATCCAAGCACAAAAATTTGTAAATCTACAACTGTACCTCATGGTGTTTCACTAATAAAAAAAAAAAGACAAACAAGAAATCAAACAATGAGAAAATATTTTTTAAAAATATCTTAGAAATTTTATTTTTATAAAATTTTTAATTCATGTTTTAAAATGTAAACCAACATACAAATCATGTAAGTTGCATCATAAATAATATGAAACCAACAGTTTTCAAAACATATAAAATACATACAATGTGGGGGAAAAAAAAACTTTGTATATGCAATTCCCAATACAAAAGAGATAAAGCAGGGAAAATTCTTGAAAGGCGTTCATCTCCTGTACAAGAAAAATCCTCCGGACTGGAAGTGCCTTACTCCAGGCTACTCTTCTTTTGCTTCAGGTTCCCTTGACTTTCTCCCCATTTTCATTTGTTTTTTTGGGGGGAGGAGCCACACCTAACAATGCTCAGAACTTACTTCTACTCTGTACTCACGGATCACTCCTGGCACACTCAGAGGACCATAGGGATGCCAGAGATCAAACCTGGGTTAGCTACATGCAAGGCAAATTCCCTGCCTGCTGCACTATCACTCTGGCCCCTCCCATTTTTATTTTTAATTTTTTCTTTTGGGGGCGGGGGCCTTCAAAAGAAAAAGCTTTATTGGCAACAAGCTGGCAGGTTGGAGGTGGTCATGTCCTTAAAGCAGCTGTCTCCTTTTAACTTACTTATACAACAAAGGCCAATCAAGTTTGTGAAAGCTGATGTTAATGTTACACTTTAACAGTCAAGTGGCATACAAAAGTTCCTGCTTCATACTCTGAGTTATATATGAGATGGGCTCTAAACATTACATAGGAGTTAAAAACTTCAAGTGGATACTCAGAACAGATCATTCACAGAAATCTTTTTATAAAATTGAGATTTTCACATTACATTTGCTTAAATCACAGTAAGCCTGTAAATTAGTCATTTAAAAAAAATCCTTAACAGTATGAAAAATTTTACTCACCCTACTTATGGTGTCTTCAAATGCTAACTAAGAATATCTAATCTAAAATGTATCCAGAGTAGTCCTAACTACCCCATCTATTAGTATTCACTAAAACTAGTTCATTACTTACATACTGTGAACATTAATACTAATTTGATTTGGTTTGGTTCCTGTTGCAAAACACTTTTGAATTTTGGCTGTTTTTATGAGAGCTACATATATTATTAATTTATCTCCACTTCTTTTAGCAACATATTTATGGGAAATGTTTAGATATATTAAACTTCAACTGGATATAAATGCCTAATTCGTTTTTATTATTTTAAAGCTACTTAATAGAACTGGGGATGTGGCTCAGTGGTACAGTTCATATCTGGCAAGACCCTGGTGTCTCTCTCTCTCTCTCCATCTCTCTTTCCCTCTGTCTCTGTCTGTCTGTCTCTGTCTGTCTGTCTGTCTCTCTCTCTCTCTCTCTCTCTCTCACACACACTCACACACTCACACACACACACACACACACACACACACACACACACACGAGTTAATGCTGTGAGTTTTCCTTGTCAAAAACTCTCTTTTCTGATAAGCCTTAGAGAACAGGAAAGAGGAAAGATAATGTGAAAAGAGAAAGAAGACAGATAAAGGTGGCACTTTCAACAGTTGCATTGATTACCTGGAACTGCTGAAAATTATAACGAATTATCTTGAAATTCACTCTAGCACTGGCAATGCTAGACTAATAATTTTTTATCTTACTATTTGTTATTAGAATACTATATTGTTAAAATTTATTATTAAAATTAGCTCCTCCCCTCAATAAATCTATATTTTACTAGAATTTAACTGTGGAGCATTTGATTTTTTTATAAAAAAGAAAAAAAGTAAGGATTAAGAAGGATGAAGTTCGGGGCCAGGAAAGTAACTCAAAAGAATGCATGCCTCAGATGTGTAAGGCCCTGTGTTCCATCCCTGGCATCACAAAAAGAGACCAGGTTCTGGCATCAGAGGTCTGGCATGTGACAAGCAGAGCAGGACTGTGCCTGACTCAGAGCCCAGCTGGCATAGGGCTGCCATAAGCCTGTGGAAACAAGGCAGACCAACAGAACCAACATTCTCCTAGCCATGTTTTGCTAGGCAGAACTTCTGAAATCCAAAATTCTCTTAAGTGGATTAAAGTAAATGCTGAAAAAATGTAAACACAGATATATTTTAAAGAAAACTCAGATACACTGCATGAAAGCAAATGTAAGGGGTACAACTAAGCGCCGAGATTATATCTCTCCCCACCGGGTGAGTGTGGATCCCAAAGCAGGTCGCTGCCACCCCGAGGCAGAGCCTGCATAATGACAGGGACTGAAACACAGATTCCCTGAAAATCATTCACCATTCATTAATTGTGTCGCCAACTTGAATGCATCAAGAGAAAATGTAACTAGGTACATTTTTACATTTCATTTTAAGGACAAATGGTTAATAACAATGAGTATGAAACACAAGATTAAAGGCATGTTCATTTGAGGAAAAGCTACATTAGTATTACTCAACCACAAACACTTCTGCAATGAATGCAACATTGCACACAATTCACAGCTTCATAAAAAGTTAAAAACAACCGTTTCATTGGAATTTTTTTCTTATTTAAAAGACTTCAACCATCAAAGCTTAACTATTTACTCTAAAATCTGTAAAATATATAAAATACCAAGATTATCCACAGTCACATAGGTTTTGAAGTCAGGGGACACGTGTATTTTCTTAAGATTGGTTCCATTTGTGTAGAAGGTCTGTGACGATTCACCAGTGACAACATTCCACCACTGTTTGGAGAAAAATTAAGTTTTTATTAGATTGGCCATCACACCGTGTGACAATTTGTTATGCCAGCCAGATCCTTGGCTCTATCACCTTCCCACTCTCAACCTAAAACAGGAGAGAAGTCTAGGGTTTAATGCTAATCTAGTATTATAAACCTCGTCAGCCTCTCCCAATTCATCTGGAGAGGGCCTCAGAGTGAACCTCCACTTAACCAACCCTCTGGGAGACAAGACTGGAGACACAAGCAACAACTGAGAGCTTTGAGGCCACAATTGTCCATTGCCATCTCAGCTGGGCAAAGCCAACTGTCAGAGCATGTCTTTCTCAGTGAGATGGACAGAAGACTGTCCTTCTCTCCCTTCAAAATGCCCCTTTGATCACTAAGTCAATGATGGTTGGAGGAATCATTCAGAATGGGAGATGTGTGCTGAAAGCAGATAAAGGATCAAACATGATAGTCTCTCAGTATCTGTATTCGAAACCATAATGCTCAAAAGTATAGAGAGAGTATGGGGGAAATTGTCTGCCATGAAAGCAGGGGAAGTGTTGGAAAGAGGAGGTATACTAGGGACACTGGTGGTGAAGAATGTGCACTAGTGGAGGGATGAGTGTTTGATCATTGTATGACTGAAACTCAACCATGAAAGCTTGTAACTGTATCTTACAGTGATTCAATTAAAAAAAAATGCCCCTTTACAGACCACTAACCTATTCATCATACGAGCTATAGGACAGAACATTTCCTTTCCCTCAGCTGAATCTTCCCTTTCACAGGTTAATTCAAGAGTCATTGACCACATTTCTTTTAAAAAGTCTATGAAGGGGCCGAAGCAATAGCAGAGTGGGGAGGGCACTTGACTTCCATGTAGCTGACCTAGGTTCAATTCTTGTCCTCCCATATGGTCCCCCAAGGCCACCAGGAGGCATGGGCACACCTGGTGATACTCAGAGGTTGGTCCTTGCTCTGCACTCAGGAATTACTCCTGGCAATGCACAGGGATGCAAGGGAATAAACCTGTGACAGTCATGTGCAAAGCAAACACCCTACAGAGACGGGATGGAACTAGGGTTGGCCACATGCAAGGCAAACACCCAACCCACAGTGCAAGACGCTGAATGTACTAGTGCAGTAATGGTGTCACTTTTGTATTACGTAGCCATTACGTAGCATTCTGCCATGCTCAAGTGGCTGGGTCAACTAATTTGTTTATTATCGATAAGAGTAACCAGTACTAGTATAACTCATGAACTTTAGTAAACCTCAATGAAGCACCACATACTGACCTGAATGTTTCTAGAACTGAGAGATTTCTTTCCAAAGTAGAAATGTAATCAAGATCACAGAGTACATACTCCATCTCTCTGAGAAAACTCCCTAGTTTTCAATTGTGATGGGCAAATTATAGAGGCACTATGACCCTGCAGAATCACCTAAATCTAAGCAACTCATTTTATAAATATGGAAACCAGAGATTTGAGAGAGTAAAATACTTGTTGTGTACCCATGATGACACTGGTAGTGGCCAGGGGCAGGGGTGTGACAGTTCTGCTTCCTAACTGAATGTTCCTACCACCTTCCCCTATGAAAACAAGATCCCTGTACTGGGAGGCGTGCCAACCGCTGGTCTGAATATGGGTCACTGTTAGGGCAGTGAAACATTCTGTTATGATATGGCAATAGTGGAGACATGGCACACTTGTCATACATCTGTCAAAGTTTATAGACTAAGCATTAAGAGTAAACCCTAGGGAAAGGAGAGAGAGAGAGAGAGAGAGAGAGAGAGAGAGAGAGAGAGAGAGAGAGAGAGAGAGAGAATGGGGATTAAGGCACTTGCAGCTGCCTGATTTGAACTAGGCACCACATGGTCTCCTGGCACTGCTGGGAACCTCTCCCAAGTACCAACAGTATGGCCCAAACCACTCTGCCCCAAAATAAGAGTAAACCTTAATGTAAGCCATAAACTCTGAGTGGCACAATGTGTGATGAATGCTTATCAACTGTAAAAAAAAAAAAAAAAAAGAACACTCTGGGGGATATTGATGTTGATGACAGAAAATACATGGGAACTGCATTTTCTGCTCAGTTGTGCCATGAACCTAAAATGTTCAGAGAAATTAAGTGTGTGTATGTATATATGTATACACATATGTACATCTTACAAACATAATTTTGGTCTTGAGAAAATTCAGAAAAATATTGATGTCTATTGCTAATTACTGACTAAATTATTATTTTTTTAATGGGGGCAGAAAGATAGTATAGCAGGTAAGGTATTGCCTTGCACCCAGCTGACCAGGGTTCAATCCCAGCCACCAGGAGTGATACCTGGTCATAGAGCCAGGAGTAAGCCCTGAGCACCACTGAGTGTGACCCCCAAAACAAAAATAAAAACAAAAAAAAGACTTTAAAACTAAGCAAAATTAATCAGAGGAAGAACAAATATTGGATGTTTTCAATCATATGTGGTACTAACAACAACATGAATAGCATCTAATGACAACTCTTTTGATTATAGAACAGAGGTTGCTGGGCCAGAGCGGTAGGGGGTAGGGCCTTTGCCCTGCACGCGGCCAACTCAGGTTTGATCCCCAGCATCCCATATGGTCCTCTGAGCACTGCCAGGAGTGTTTCCTGAGTGCAGAGCCAGGAATAACCCCTGAATATCACCAGGTGTGACCAAAAAAAAAAAAGTCAAAATAAAAACCAAAAATCACAGAGGCTGCCAACTCAGGTGGCAAAGGAATGACAAGGAGACTTGGACTAGAAATGACACTAGGGCAGTCTGGTGGTACTATCTGGAGAAATAATTCTCCACACCACAAACATTAACATAAATACTACTGTAACCATGTTACTTCCACTACAATAGAAAAAAATAACAAATTCCAAAATAAAATTAAAAAATAAAAACATCTTGAAAAATAAAGAGTTTAGTGCAATATAAATTTATCATATCCAATCCCTTTTACAAGTGAAATACTACTTAAATGTGTCAAAACCCCTTGCCTACCTTAAAAATTTTGCTGCTTGGGGCACGGCCATGGCACCAGAGGCACATGGAACTAATCCAGAGCCCAGCAGCTTGCGGCAGAAATGTGAATGGACTATGCATTAAACTCCGGCGCCATGCCCACCCAGGAGGGAAAGAATGTCTCTTTCACCTCGCCCCCCCACACCCCGGGCAGCACAGTGGCCACTGCCTCAGAGCTTATTGAAAAGCCAAGTATGAGCCGGCGGTGACTGGGAAACTGCAGCCACATGGGAAGGGGGACGGAACCAGCTCATCCTTCACGCCCAACCGAGGCCATGAGTTGCCCCCCACAAGCAGCTCTCCGGCACGGCCATGTCACCAGAGGCACAAAAACCAATCTCGTAATTATCCGGCTCTTGGCAGAAATCCCTCCAGACTTAATAAAGTATCAGAAATCCAAAATCATAGCGTTTTCATAACCAGCAATAGAAAACAAATTATTTCACAATGCCTTTTCAGCAGTTCTGATTGTTGGGGGCAAATTCCAAACAATAATAGTGCATCTTTTGTCAAAATAATGAATGTATTCAAAGTAGAGAGAGAGTTAAGTAAAAATCATCTGGCTCACAGGCATCAGGATGGGTGGGAGGGAGGGCATATCTGGGTTCTTGGTGGTGAAAAATAATTACTGGTGTGTGTGGGGGGTGAGGGGGTGTTTGATCATTGTATGACCAAGACTTAAACCTGAAAGCTTTGTAACTTTTCTCATGGTGATTCAACAAATAAATTTTTTAAAAAATAGAAAAAAAAATTATTGCTTGGGCTGGAAAGATAATACAACATGACTGACCCAGTTTTGATCCCTGGAATCTCCTATGTCCCCTGAGCCCACCAGGAGTGATCCCTGAATGTAGAGCCAAGAGTCATCCCTGAGCACAGCTAGGTGTAGCCCCAAAACAAAAACATTTACTGCCATTTCTCCATAAATTATAAATCATCTGAAGTCAAAAGTCACATCTTTAACATTGTGCAGTAAAGCCATGTCTTAGAACACAGTGGGCACAGACACTTAACACTTAATTCTTAGTGAGTGACTGAAAAAATAGAAAAAAGCACATTTAACACTGGCTTCCATATTCACTTGTAACAAGTTTGCATGACTCAACTTTACTATGTAATTTTAGGGAAGCCAGAACCTTCATGAGCATCAGTTTCCTCATCTATAAACAAAATACAATAAAACTTCAGCAAGTGGTTTCAACTACCAGTCCATGGACTAAAGTTGGTCCACAAGTATGAAAAGTGGTTTTGAAAAACACTGTTCTAAACCTCCTAAAACTGATGGATAGCAACGACATAAGTAAAGTGCTTTGTAAACTCTCAAGCAAAACAGCTGCTGCTATTATTGTTCTTTTGCTTATTATTATCACTACTGAAGTAAACATGTTTTATTAAAAAAAAAAATTTAAAGACTCAACCAAAATAGCTAACAACTAATGAAGTGGAAAACAAAAGTAAGCATACACTCGCCATCACCTTGATTGTCTAACATTCCGTAAGGTATATCAAAGTCCTGGACTGAGGCCAACCTTAACACGGTCACAGAAATTTCCAAGAACTATGAGGAAAGCAGTCTCATGACCTCAGCCTCCAAAGAGAACTAATGGTACTGCCGTCCACTCTGCTGGATGGCAGGAGACCAATCTGGGAAAGAAGAATGGAAAACATCTAGGAAAGTAGGATAGAAGCTGTTTCTCCTTTAACCAGCTTTAAGGAATGCTTACCTTAAGATACCCTCCAGCAGAGACAAGCATTCTGCTATCTGGAGAAAAACGAAGGTCAGTCACCCAGCCTCCATGAGTAGCAGTTCCTCCTTCTACTGATATCGGAGCACACAAGTGAAGCAGCTCACCACTTGAGACATTCCATATCTGCATAAAAATGATTCACAATTCATTAGCAGGATTACTCAGAAATGTAGAGACATAACAAACACCTGAAAGATACATGAGAACACTTCTTTAGGGGCTGGAGCGATAGCACAGCAGGTAGGGCGTTTGCCTTGCACATAGCTGACCCGGGTTCGATTCCCAGCATCTCATATGGTCCCTGAGCACCGCCAGGAGTAATTCCTGAGTGCAAAGCCAGGAGTAACCCCTGAGCATCTCCGGGCATGACCCAAAAAAGCAAAAAAAAAAAAAGAAAAGAAAGAAAAAATACTTCCTTATAACAGAAGTACTATTCAGAAATGTTTTAGGAATTTTTATAGACTATCTATATAGTCTATCTGAATTGGAAAGACTACAATAAAAACACACTAAATAAGTTTTTAAGAAGTTGCCAGTAGTTTCATCACCTGTGGAATATAACTGAAGCTCAAGAGACTGGCAAAACCCCACAAAACTAACCCCTAGATTCAGTGAAAACCATTGTGGTTGCCAAAGGTAAAACGACATGGGAGTTTAAGGAATGGCAGGGGGCATCTTTTTGGTGGTGATATGGCATTGGAACGTTGCAGGTAGATTTTGTGGCTATTATACACATGCAGGTTTAAAATGACACCCTTAAAATTCTACAGTATTGCTGATCAATGGTAGATTACTGAAAAAAATATTAAAAACACATAATAGCAGGGGAATATCCTTAGGAGATTTAAAGTTGGGATATACTCATAGCCATATTGGGGGAAGAGGGTGGAGGCAGGATACTTTTGGAGATATCTGGTACAACTGCACGAACCAGAAGTACTTGGCCTAGCAATGCATCTGCTCAGGCCAGGACCACCCTGGCAGTGCTCAGGGGCCACCAGGGCCACCACTGGTAGTACTTGGGAAAGCATGTGGTGCTAGGGATCAAACTCAGGAACCCCACATTCAAGCGGGCCTTCTAGCCTTTTGCACTATCTTCACAACTCACCATATGTTAGTGCATTAGAAATAGTGTCAAATGCAACAAAATATTAATAGTACCTGACTAGATTTAATATTTTTTCCTTGGTTTATCTTTTTTTTTTCATATTTCTAAGATACTTTATCAATTTGTAATTCAGCATCTCTTACAGAAAACTGAATGTTTATATATTTTTGTTGTTGTATTTTATACATGAACAAAAATGAAGTGGCTGGCGACTGATGGGGGAAAAATAGTGAAAAATAAAATCAAGGCCTAGGGATATGGTTCAAAGGGCTGGAGCACAGGCTTTACATAAGGGAACTCCAACTTCAATTTCCAGCATTGTCATCTTTTCCCTTTAGGGGTTTCTGAAAAATAAAGCACTGCCTTATACTCAGTAAAGAAGTATTTGCATGGGAAGATGAGAATTTAGCGCAAAATGAGTATTCCCAGAGCAGTCCTGCTTCTTCAGCAGACAGAGGCACTCCTGAGAATGATTTTGAGAAGGCTGGAAATTTTCTTGGAAATGTAAATTTCTTGGAATATATATAAATATAAATATAGAGATCCAATAATGCCTATGCTCCTACATTCTCTCATTCCTCTGCATTACCTACCTACTTCATGAGGGGTTGTTTTTGGGGGGCTACCCAAGCAGAGCTGAGGTGGACCAAGGGCTACTCCCATAAATACTCAGCACAGCTATGCAGGCAGGACAGTCTATGCTCAGGTACAGTAGAGGTCATGGGAGTCAGTCCAGTGGTGCTCAGGTGCCATCCAGTGCTGGGATTCGAACTCAGGATTTTCCTGTTGAGAAGTCTCCTCGTACCCCTATATTCCTTGAATTTTAAATCCTCCATGTTTAAAAAAATATGGAAAAAACACACAAGACTCTCCACTGCCAACTTTTCCATCAACTACCCAGTCCTTCTAATACTCCAGGCAAATAATCCCAAGATGACTGCAATTAACCACAGTGTAAATCTAGGGGTTTCATTAGATTAAGCAGTGTTGACTAATGGGTACAGAGCTAAAGAGACCATTTCTTTCCATGCTATAAGCAGCAGAATTTGCAATTCATTTACAATCTAGATAATATACAAGGATTATTTTTCTCAAATTCTGACAACGAAAACAAACCTTTCCCTTAAGTCCAAGAATTAAGATGAATCACTGTCAAACAGCAGAGTTACTGACTGCGAATAACTAGGACATCCTCTCTTCACTCTGACTCTAAAATGATTTCTTCCTGGGGTTGGACATATAGTACAGTGGGTAGAGCACTTGCTTTGCATGCAATTGAACCGGGGCATTTGATTCCCAGCTTCCCATATAGGCCCCCAAACACTACAAGGTGTGAATCCTGAGTGCAGAGCCAAGAGTAAGCCCTGAGCATTGCTGGGTATGTCCCAAGAGCAAATAATTCTCCCCCCCCCCCCCCCCCACACACACACGAGTTCTTTCTAAAGTGGAGTGGCTGCTATGCATACAATAAGCAAACAAAACAAAACAGAAACTGCCACTCCAACCATAAGCCCAGGGTCAAGGCAGCACAGGCCCAGCAGCACTTGGAATGGTCCCCGAGTATGCAGTAGTGCTGACAGGGTCACAAGCACCCACCCGGATTTCTCCATTGTCATCTCCAGTTGCCAGCAGGGTCGTGTCCACAGAGAAGACGGAGCAGCGCACACAGCCCTTGTGGCCCTTCAGTTCATGAAGGGGGGAAAACAGATCAAAGCTCCAAATCTGGAAAGCAATTAGGATTGCTTAGAAAGAGGAAATACACTCCTAAAATATGTAAGTATCTGCCAACCCTGCCTGCAGGTTTGGTTACTCAAATTTATTCACAAGGAAAGTCTAAGAGTCTATACACTTTAACAAGAGGCCCAAAATCCAACTTGCAACCCTGTTCATTTTTCTGAGTTTGCCTTTAATTACCCACATTAACTTCAGCTCAAGATCAAAGTCACAGCTTTCTTAACTTTATACTTAGAGGAACACAAATTCAATTAAGAGCACTCAGTGACAGAGATTTGTGCTCAAGAGAGCTCAGAGGCTTCTTCAAAAAAAAAAAAAGAAAGAAAGAAAAGCACTCAGTGGGTGGAGGCAACCTGAGCCTGTCCCAGTTTCACTATTTACTTATTCCCTATGGCCTCCAACCATCTCCACTGTCTCACTACCTGTGTCTGCATCTAAAGAAATGGAGCCAGGGGTCAAACAGATAGTCCAGGGGTTAAAGTGCTTGGATTGATGCAGCAGACTCTTGTTCACTATGTATTGCAGGGAGTGACCCCTGAGCAGCATGGTCACTGGAGCCCAGTGGGAATAAACTCCAAACAGAGCTGTAAGAAGCCCCAAACACCAGGAGGGGTGGCCCAAGCCCCTCTGGTCAAAGGATATTGACAGTAGTACTTACGGTGGGAAGATTAAATAAAATTACTGAGTGAAATTCCTAGCACAGAGCCTAACATATAGCCAGTGTTCGTTAAGGGTAAGTCTCTATACTTAACCTATTTACTATCTTAGCAGACAAATATTTTTTTCTGTCCAATACTCTCCTCTCATGCTTTTTTCATCACCATTTAATAAGTATATACTAAAAAAAAACTGCCATGCCCAAGGCTGTTCATGTGGCTGAGTTGCAGAGATTCGCCTGGCATAAATGAGACTCTGGGTTTGATTTACAGCACTGCATTTCAGAAAATGCAGCTTCCTAAAAACTGCCATGTTCTAGGCACTATGAGCTACAAGCTGGTGACACAAAGATGCACGAATTCAGTTCCTGTCCTTAAAAAGCAAAGAAGCATGAATACAACCCCTGCCTTTGAAATGCATATTGTTAATAATACAGATCTACAAATGGTTAAGAGTTAAATGAAGAAAGTGTTCTAATAGGTTATGTCAAGCAATAGTTAACATCATACACAAGAACAGAGAAGCAGAAGTAACTGTGTACTGAGAACAGAGAAGCAAAATTCCAAAATTCATCATCTGGAAAGACGAATATATAAATGATCTTTGTTGGATAACATTGGTTTGTCCTTGCTCCTCCCTCAGTACTCCCACCATAGTGCTCCTGAGGCACACCCAATTCCATCAGGCACTAATAATTCTATACTGCTTTTCTCTTTCCTTTATGCCTTTTGCATGGTTTAGTAATTTTGTATAGACACAGGAAGACAGTTGATGTTATGCTTTTGTAACATGGGAGTTAATTGACTCCAAATAATATTTACTCCTGGGCATACATCAAATTTACTTGAGTTAAGCCCAGCTGGCCTTACTTCCTAATACCCCCAAAAGGAGGGTTCTGGCGAAGAACTTGGATGGACCCAGGGCAAGCTATAAGCTACCCTGGCATCAAGAAGGGACAAGCTAAGTGCCATAGAAGCACAGCACGATCAACAAACTCTGTTATGACCCAAAAGAAAGTAAATGAATAAGGACCCTGCTGAGGTTAGGAAAGACTAACCTGGCTTGAGGACTGTAGTCTGGGATATATAGCAAGATGTAATCACCCTTTAAATTTAATATATTTCTTACTGTATTCATACAAAGTGACTAGAAATATCAGTTTCAATATGATTGTTTAAATGGATTACTGGCTAAGGAAAGGAGAAAGCAATACACCTTTAGACAGAATCCCACCTTTGAGCAGATATCCTAGTAATCTAGAGTGCGATCCCCAGATGAGATTTTGTCCCTGAGTTAATTTCCCTGAAGAACGTCCCCTAAAGTTTTACATATGTTTATTGTTATGATAATGTTCAACCCCATCTATGTGTGCCCCCACCCTTCATGATTTCTATACAACTACTCTATAAGAGAAGTAGGAAGAAGGATAAATAACTTTGCTGTAAGAGAGAGAAGTAGGAAGAGAAGAAAGAAAAATAAATGGTCCCTAACAACCAACCAGGCTGAGGCTCCTGTTCCTCTGTTCCTCCATTTCTCCATTCTGTCATTCATCCCTCACTATCAGCTGGCCTGGGGAGGCAACTCTCAGGCCATGGAACATACACGTCCTGCAAGCCCAAGTTTTGAACTCACAATGTTAACAAAGATCGAGGAGCAGAAATGGAGTATTCAATAGTCCCCAACCAATAATGTTGGTTATTTCAGAAGTGATTTATAAATGTGATTTCAGAAGTATCCACTTACATCAATCATATAAAAGTTTACCATAGATATGCAATTAAATGCAAATCTCCTCAACACTTTTTCTTGTCCATGGAAAGGGTAGAAATTACATTTGATTAGCAATAGACAAAAAGTAGTAAATAAGAGAGAAATCAAAAGTCCTCAGTGTCATTTCTTCTATTTGACAATAACTAAATGCCAAGGACATCCTGCATAGACTCACAAAATATGAGACAGACATCTAAATACTCAGTATTCTGTTGCAGACATTATTTGGACTCATAACCAATTACAAAGTTTATGCACACACATTTCAAATGACTCACCAACCTTTGCAGTCTTGTCAGTAGAAGTAGATGAAAATTTGGTAGCATCCGGAGAAATATCACAAGAAAGTACTGTATCTTGATGACAAATAAAGTCCTTTTCAATTTTTCCAGTAATAATATCCCATACCTTTAAAGAAAAAATTCACAAAGTTAGCACTTCTAAGAACTGTTTGTATTACTGAGCATCATCAGCTAGGACACAGATCTATAAAACAAGATCTTTTAGGGCAATGGCTATTCTCTTCTTTAGGCATTCTTTAGTATAAATGTTCATAAACATGCAACAGAAGTGACAACAGTAAATAGAAAACAAGTGTGAGGAAATAGAAATTCTAAAATTCAAGTAAAAAGGTTTTTTTCCCCAGCCACAGCCCCAGCAGCCACACCCACCACCACACAGCAGCCACCACAGCAATGGCCCAACTCCAGTGCTTCACAACTCATCTCTGCAGAGAAATCAACCCAACAAAAAATTCCAGGTACACTGGTGATCAGGCTGAAAACTGGGTTCTTCTCAGAGTGGGGGCAGGCAACTTCTCCCAATGCCCCCCTACTGCTTCCGGAAGCCCTGGCAGCCACAGCCACAGCCCACAGCTGCTGCCATGTAAACTCATCAGCCCAGATCTACAGACCCTGGAGTTCCTGGAGTGGACATCCAAATTCCACAATTCTGACAGCCCAGTAGGAGCACACCAAATTGGACGAGAAAGCAACATAGAAGCCAACCAAGCTCATTAAACAAAGACAATAACACAGAAGGCTCAACTACCAACAAGCAGCCTAGTAAAGCCTCAGACAAGGACCTAATGATTCCATCATGGGATATGACAATTTTCATAAATTTTCTTTTACTGAAGTTTTTTTTTATAATTTCATTAGCCATTTAGTTGTAACAAGCAATATAAAGTAAATTATTTTGTGCCTGCTAAGGGGGTGGCTTGGAAGGGAGGAGGTGGGAAATTGGTGGAGGGAAGGTTACACTGGTACTGGGATTGGTGTTGGAACACTGAATACCTGCAACAACTATGTTATGAACAAGTCTGTAAGCCAAAAAGTTTCCTATAAATGAAAATTAAAGTAGTTGGCAGGACAGATACTGGGGAAAGTAGTTGGTGGTGGGAAAGCTACACTGGTGGAGAGATGGGTGTTAGATCATTGTATGACAGAAACTTAATCATGAAGACTTTGTAACTGTATCTCAGTGATTCAATAAAAGAAAATTAAGTAGTTATTTAACATCTGTCTGCTTTGGACTCTCACAATATAATAACTGCAATGTTAGAATTTTTTTTCAAAAAAGCCTGCATTATAAATTACCTTCACTGTTCCATCAAATGACCAAGAAAGAAGACTTGAATTTTTCAGGAGCCTAAAATCTTTCACCGTTTCCTGATGAGCTTGCAGAAAGACATATTCCTCTGATTGCCAATTCCAGACCTGAGTATCAAAGAAATAAGTTTGTTAATAATCTCCCCCCATAATATACCACTGAAAGAGTGGAGGAACTCACTTGTCTAAAAGTCTCTTGTGGTGGATGAAGGAGGGAGTTGGGCATACTCCCAAAGTCTTTTGTGGGGAGGTATTCAGGGATTATTCCTGACTCTGTGCTCAGGAGTGACCCCTGGTCACTCCTTGGTACTTGCCAAGCAATATCTGAGATCAAACGAGGGTTGGCCACATACAAGGCCAACCTTGGCCCCTGTATTAATTCTTTAGGCCCCAAAATTCTTTGTTTTGTTATTGTTTTGTTTGGGGGGCCATACCCAGTGTATATAGAGCTTATTTCTGGCGCTCACTCCTGGAGGAACTCTGGACCATATGTGATGCTGAAGACTGAACCCAAGTCAGGAGTGTGTGAGGCAAGCACCTTATCCACTGTACTATCTCTCCAGTCCCTAAAAGTGTTTTTTTTTAATCTTCATGACTTTTCAGCAAACAAAACAAGAGTGATAAGAAGAAAAAAAATGATGTCACCATATAACAGGGAGTGGGGGGAAGCTGGTTAGTTACCTTCATTAAGGGCAAAAGAAAATATATTTCCTCCTAAAATACACGGTTTTTGTTGTTGATGTTGTTGTTGCTTGGAGAACAGTTAATTATAACAGAATATAGAGAAAAGTCACAATATGCCAAGAACTCACCATCTGATGAAAATTTTAGAGACATTTATCCCAGTTACATATTCATAGATCCCTAAGTGTCACGAGCCAGGTAAGGCTGCAGGTTCCGCTCCACATAAGCTACAGAACCCATTCTACCTATTACCTAGAAAGGTCAGTTGACCAAAGTTTCAAACCCTGAAATTTCCGAGCTTAAGAGACCTTATGTATCTCTTAATGCCAACTTCAAAAATGACAAAAGAAAGTAGAAGGAATTATTTTTTGAGGCCAACAAAATAGTACAATGGTTACATAAGGCACACAGCTGACCGGGGATCCATCCCCCCACCTCCCATTTGATTCCCTGAGCACTACCAGGAATGATTCCTGAGTAGGACCAGGAATCAGGAGTAAGACCTAAGCACTGCCGGAAGGACCCAAAAAACATTTTTTTATTTTAAAAATAAATTATTTTTCAAATGGTTCCAAGAAATCAGGTACACAAAATAATGATCTTAAATACTATGAATAATAGGCAAAAATAATTCGTACCACTGATCTGAGGGTCTGTCTTTATTTCAATACCATGCTTTTTTAATTACTACTGCTTTGTATAGTACAATTTGAAGCTGGGGAGGTGACGCTTCCCATCTTCTTGTCCCCAAGGACTGCTTTAGCTATTAGTGGAGGTTTATTGTTCCATAAGAATTTCAGGAATGTTTGATCAATTTCTTTGAAAAAAGGCATGGATATCCTTATAGGGACTGCACAGAATCTGTATAATTTTGGAGGAAGTACTGCCATATCTAAGGCATATAGATGAACAAAATATAAAATTCATTTTAATATCATGTCCATATAAAGAACATCTCTTAATGGTCGAATCAAAACTACTGGATTTCGAGCCGTATTGTTTATTCCCATCAAATTAACATGTGTTTGAGCAGAAGAAATAGTACAGCAGTTAAAGAGGTTTGCCTTGCACAAGGACAACCTGGGTTTGATCCCTAGCACCACCTAAGGTCCTCCTTACCCTGCCAGGAATGATCCATGAGTGCAGAGCCAAGAGTAAACGTGAGCAACACTGGGGGTGCCCCAAAACAAAACAAAAACAAAAAAGTTCACAAATGGTTATTTAGTACCTATATGTGCGGCAAATATCAATAAGCAAGTATTTAATATAAAGAAACCTGAGAGTCTAGTTCAAAAGAATGAGAGATACAAAGCCAGAGAGTAGTACTGGGGAGTTAAGATGCTTGCCTTGCACATAGGTGACTCGTGTTTGATACCTGACACTACATAGGGCCCTCTGAGCACTGCCAGGAGTAATCCCTAAGTAGCAAAAAGAATCCCTGAGCACCAGCAGGTGTGCACTGCCAACAACAACAACAAAAAATAATAATGATGATAAGAAAGAAGAAGAAAGGGAGATGGGCAGGGAGGGAGGGGAGGGAATGGAAGGAGAGGAAGGAGAGGAGGGAGGAAAGAAGGGAAGGGAGGAAGGGAGGGATGGAAGGAGGAAGGAAAGATGGAAAGGAGGGAGGAAAGATGGAAAGGAGGGAGGGAAGAAGGGAGAGAGGGAGGGAGGAAATAAGAAAGGGAGGGAGGAAGAGAGGGAGGGAGGGAGGAAAGAAAGAAGGAAGAGAGGGAGGGAATAAGGGAGGGAGGGAGGGAGGGAGGGGGGAGGGAGGGAGGGAGGGAGGGAGAAACGGAAGAAGAGAGGGAAGGAGAAACGGAAGAAGAGAGGGAAGAAGGGAGAGAGGGAGGAAGGGAGGGAGGGAGGGAGGGAGGGAGGGAAGGAGGGAGGGAAGGAGGGGGAAGGCAAAGTTCTGCACAACTCAAAAAAGCTATTCTATAGGAAAGACTCAAAGAAGACAGTGCATGTAAACCAGGCCTTGGGAATAGGCTAAAGGTACGATTCCCAAAACGATGGCATTTCCACGAAGAGAATGAATGCTTGAGTTCAAGCACAGAAATTAAAAAATAAAATAGGAAAATTTTAGGAACCTGCTCTTAGTTCAATCTGGCATATGGGGATGTAGAAATAATAGTAAAGGGGGAAAAGGCTCAGAAGATATTCAAACAAACAGCCCAGAGGACTTGATGAAGCTAGGTTCCTGAGCTGTAGATAACCAGGCAGGCTGCAATAGAATTATCTTCTATTTTTGATACCAGGAACAAGAAACTAAAAGAATCAGCTATTCACAGATATGCTCATTAGTAATATTCTGGGTCTAGTTTTTGACCGGTGAGAATTAAAAAAGGAAAAAGGTCTTGAAAGCTTTTCTTACTAGGCTCAGACAAAACTATAGAGAAACTCTATCTTATTCCCTTCCTTTGCTCCTTCATCCCCTACATTTAGCAGACGCCCTCCCCACTGAGTGCTGACTCTTAGATCTCCCATCTCTCCCAGCCCAGAATGCTGATTAACCGGAGCAGGATTTCAGGGCACCTTGTATAAAAGCTAATAGGCAGAGAAGAGTGACAGCAGAGTTACTACAGGGACGGGGCAGAGGTACAATTAGGGGAGCTGGGGTTGAGCCTAATATCTGACACCCTTGGCTCCTATGATCCATCAGAAGAGAGATGAATCTCTGACACCTCTGCGATGACTTCCAGAAGGAAAAGAGCACAGGCAAGTGAAGGACATAGCAGAGACTAGAAACATCATTGATGATCACTATGGCAAACTCACTTTCCTTGAACCCAAAAGCAGTGACATCAGTATGACCACCTCCCACCCTACAGATGAAGAATTCCCAAACACTGTGCTTGCAGCAGTTACTGGAGAGACAAGTAACAATTTTGGGAGTAGATTGGGGTCAGACTCTCTGGAAGGCCACCTTTGACACCTAACTGCTGTCAATATGATAGCTGCTACACTGAAACCTGCCCTCCATTTTACTGGACACTGAGGATGAGTCCCAAATGAAAGCTCCACCATCCCCTCCCCAGGAAAATATTTAGCTAGCTCCAGGAGAAATAACTATCCAGACAGGTGGGATAATAATGAAGAAACTGGGGAATACACATCAACTCACAGATCAAAACAAAATTCTGCAGAAAATTCTTAGTGTAACAGAAAGAAACTACCTAAAGAAGATTTCAAACCAACAGTCCTAATGATGCTCACTGAAATGACATCAATAGAACAGAGTTTCAACAAGAATATAGGAAATATTAGAAAGGTCCAAATAGAAATCACAATGCTAAAGAACCCCGATGAGATCACCTCTGCTCCAGAGACAGAGCAGCAAGTCCTGAGAGACACCACATCACTGGAGATCTCTCTGGGTCCTGTACCAAGCCAATTTCACCAGGGCACCTCAGATGGAGCAGGTGCACTCTCCCTACCAGCTCCAGATGAAGCTTCGGCAACCATGAGCTTCCACAAGCAAGGCCCACGTATGCAGATTCCAGGACTAAGATTCCAGGTCACATGGCGATGGTAGAGGAATCGGGCTGTCCCTCCCCAGCACCCCACCCGCTCTTGATTCTGACTGTCACACCCATGATCTGCCTCCAGGCACCATCTCAAGGCACCAATAGCCCTGGTCCAGGGATTCCCAATTGAATTACAAAATAGATTAGCGTCCTACAGAGATTCTGGACCCCAACCATTTACAATCTTAGAATTCCAGAAGCTCTATATTCAAAGTGAGCAATAGAAAATAAATTATCTGGCGTCTGCCCCTGATAGGCAGGCTTGAATAGTGATGGGAAAATTTGAGCAAGCTATAATGCCCAAAAGTAGGAAGAGTGTATTGGGGAAATTGTCTGCCATAGAGGCAGGGTGAAGACTGGGATGTGGGGAGCAGGAATACTGGGGACAATGGTGGTGGAAAATGTGCACTGGTGCAGGGATGGGTGTTCGATCATTTTATGGCTGAAGCTCAAACATGAAAGCTTTGTAACTGTATCTCATGGTGATTCAATTTAAAAAAAAAAACAAAGAAATTTTATTAGCATTATTCAAGGGATAGAAACAAATATTACTAATATCTGTATAGAATCACAGAAGATTCCAAATAATAAAAGCAATCTATGAGAACGAATGAAGAGTGGTGGTATCACATTCCCTAACTTCAAAGTATACTACAAAGCTATAAAAATTAAAGTAGGGGCTGGAGAGATAGAACAGCGGGTAAGGCATTTGCCTTGCACGCAGCCAACCCGGGTTCGATTCCCAGCATCCCATATGGTCCCCTGAGCACCGCCAGGAGTAACTCCTGAGCGCAAAACCAGGAGTAACCCCTGTGCATCGCCAAGTGTGACCCCCCAAAAAAAGCAAAAAAAAAATTAAAGTAGTATGGTATGGGAACCCACAGATCAATGAACTAGAACTGAAAGCCCGGTGGGGTGGGTAGGGGACAGATACCTTTGAGACAGACACTGCTGTTAATTTATAACAAAATCAGCAAGAGCATACAAAAGGAAAAAAAATACTCTTCAACAAATGGTGCTGGGAAAATGAATACCACTTACGAAAGAGTAAAATTATAGTGACTACCTTACACCAAAAGCAAAACTCAATTTGAAATTGACTCAGAAGTTGAAATGTTATACCTAAAGCCATAAAACAGAAGAAAACAGGTAAAATAGTCTACAATATTGGCATCACTGATATCTTTGAAGACTCAACACCAATAGCAATGGAAATAATAATAATAAATTACTGGAACTATATCTATCTAAAAAGCTTTTGAAGAGTCAATGAAACTACCAGCAAAATGTAAAATAACACTACTTGGAGAAAATACCTGTATATCATACATCTGACAAGGGATCAATGCTGAAGATATTATAAAGAACTCATAAAACTCAACAACAAAAATAACATGGACAGAAAACATGGGCAGAAGAATTAAACAGACAATTCTCCAGAGAAGGCATAGAGAAGGTCAATGGAAAAATATGCCAATAGGCACATAAAAATATAAGGCTCTGGGGCTGGAATAACAGTACAGTGGTAGAGCATTTGCCTTGCACACGGCCAACCCAGGTTCGATTCCCAGCATCCCATATGTTCCCCCGAGCACTGCCAGGAGTAATTCCTGAGTGCAGATCCAGGAGTAACCCCTGTGCATCGCCAGATATAACCCAAAAAGAAATATGTGTGTATGTGTATGTATGGCTCATTATCATCAGGGAAAGAAAAATAAACAAAGGAATGAGAGTGGTCCAAATTACATATACCAGAAAACACCAGTGTCAGTGAGGATGTGGATAACAGGGAACCCTTATTTCACTACTGCCAAAAATGTAAATTGGTCCAGCTTCTTTAGAAATAAGTATGAAAGTTTCCCAAGATGCTAAGATGCTCAGATGATTCCTGGCACCACAACAAATGTGAACTTCAGTGCACTGCAACCAGAATTTACAATCAGAGCAAATATCAAAATCAACTGTGCAACAATACCCACAGCCCCATTGAAAAAAGGAAAAAAAATTATAGAAACAACAAAAAAATGGATGGGAAGAAGGAAAATTTGCTATAGAACCTTTTTTTTTCCTTTTTGGGTCACACCTGGTGATGCACAGGGGTTATTCCTGGTTCTGCACTCAGGAATCACCCTTGACGGTGCTCAGGGGACCATACTATATGGGATGCTGGGAATCAAACCTGGGTGCAAGGCACGTGCAAGGCAAAAGCCCTACCCGCTGTGCTATTGCTCCAGCCCCACTATAGAACCTCTTAACATCTGCAACAATCAATAAATTCTTTTACTCTAATTAGATAAATACTGCTACTACTTGGACTCTATTTACCCCTAAGTAAAGGATCAAAAGCTACCAAGTAGCCCTCAATCTTCACAGCTCTCAATGCTACAATTAGGAATTTTAATTTTTCAGATTTTGGCAGTAATTTAGTTCAGCTTAACAAAGATCTACTGAGGGGGCTAGAACGATAGTATAACAGGTAGGGCATTTGCCTTGCAACAGCCAACCTAGATTTGATCCCTGGCATCCCAGATAGCTCCCCAGGTACCATCAGGAATAATTCCTGAGTACAAAGTCAGGAGTAACCCCTGAGCATTGCAGGATGTGCCCCTTCACATTCCCCCCCACAAAAAAAAGATTGAATCACTACTCCATTCCAGGGCTGGGGATATAGATGATTAGAAGGAACCTCCAAAATGAGGTTTCATCAGAATGAGGTACCTTCTGTGATATGATGTAGTTATTTGAATTAGACTGTGGTAATTATTTCACAGTGTGTATATTTATCAAATCATTACACTGTAGATTTTAAATACAGATAAAATATTATCAATAAATCTGGAGGGAAAACAAACCTATTATTTATTAAAATAGTAAAAAACTAAAATATGGGCTGGAGCAACAGTACAGTGGCTAGGACAGTACAGTGGTCAGCTTGCACATGGCTGACCGCAGATCAATTGCTGGTATCTGTCCATATCATTCCCCAAGCACTGCCAGGAGTAATTTCTGAGCACAGAGCCAGGAGTAACCCTTGAGCATAACCAGGTGTAACCAAAAAAAAAAAAAAACTAAAACAATAACCCCACAAATCACTTCCTAAAAATACCTACAAAGCCTTTTGTTATATGACTGTTTACTCTTCAAAACACTAGGAATGTAAAGTATTCTGAGTAGAACTGAAAAAGAAGACAGCACAACTCATATTTCTAAAAATAATTTAATTCCAATTCTAAAAATATTCCTAGAAATTACTTCTCCCTCTGGCTGAGAATATTCGATCCTCAAGTGGGTTATAAAACCAATGAATTTAGCTTTTTACAAAAAAAAGCTACATATATACAGTGTCTCAACAGAATTTCTTCAGGTGTATTTTAGTTTTATCCATTTCAAAGCCAGATGGAGTGCAAGGAAGGTGAATATTACACCAAGTTTCATAGTTAATACACTTGTCTTATGGGAACCTGTAATGAGCAAGTTTCTGTACTAAAGCCAAATTTCATTCCAATCACAGAACTCACAAAGACATAACAAAGATATTTTCCAAAAATACTTTTTAATTGGGATAATTCAATATTGCTACCATAAGAAATTTTATTACTTATATATGTTTATATTCAAATACATACTTAATAAAAGAATATATCTAGAGAAGTTACTAGGTGACAGCACAGGAAAAATCTAAACTTTCCTCTCTTATGAACACATCATATCTGCCACAGGAAACAATTATTAAGGAAACAGGCCTGCATACTGGATAACTAGAGCTCCTGCAATAGACCAGAGCAGGTGGGAACCACAGAGAGAAGCTTTCACCAGGAATACACTCCACCCGGGACACCGAGACACACAACAGAAAGAGATTCCAAAGGCCAGAACTTTTCTCGGGTAACTGGTGAAGAGTTTTGTCTTGCATCAGGGACCCCAACTCCTGATCCTATGCAGCAGAGACAAATCCCTAGAACCCCAGAGTATTGAGGACTGATGTAAAAATCAAATAAAAATACCCAGTGGAATCAAATAACGACACAGTAGAGAAAACCTGCACGACCCTCACCCTAAAATGCAGCATAGTAACAAGGCACTGACTGGACTGTAAGTCACAGAGGAAGGAAACCTGGCTTTGGTTTTCTTTGTTTGGGGCCACACCCGGTGGTGCTCAGGGTAGTGCTCAGAAACCACATGCAATGCCCGGTATCAAACCAGGGTTGGCTGTATGCCTCCACTTACCACTTTAGAGTCTCTGCCTGAGAAGCCAGAAGCTTTCGTGATGATCTGAAGATTAGATACACTGACAGGACCTATCTCAGCAACTTCACGCTAATACCAGTGCCAACGGGCACATTTGGAAGTCCTCTCTCAGTTCACCAGACAGTAAGTAAGCCCCACTGAAATGCCTGGGCTGCACGGCTGGGACTGCACTCCTAGATGCCACACAACATCAACCGTGTAAGACCGTTCTGAAGTGACCAGAAGGGTAGTAGAGTCGACTAACATATAGAAGAACAGAGAATCAGACAAACTGTGGTGTAGGAGAAACGTGCCAAAGAAGAAAGCAAAGCAAATGCACAGAAAAAGACCTTAAGGGGGGGAAAAAAAGGTATGCAAACTACCTGAAGAGGAGCTAAACAAAATAGTTATAAAAATGCTCACCAAATTAATGGTTGGAATCAAGCACAAGTATGTGTGGGGCGGAGGGTAGGTAAGACAGAGAAGGGACCAAAATGACAAAAATAGCTGAAAATGATCATGCTGGACAAGAACTGAGTGTTAAAAGTAGGTAAAGGGATATACACAATAATCTTTCAGTATCCGTACTGCAAACCACAATGTTTTCTAACCATAGCTCATAGTGATTCAATTAAAAAAATAATTAATAAATCAATAATTTAAAAAGATTTTACATTAAATTTTACATTTAGCCAGAAAAGAAATAGTAAAGACTACCTTAAGGATCCTCTGTGACAAAACCAAGAATATTTGCATTACTGGAGTCCCAGGAAAAGTAAAGGCCATAAAAATTACTCAAGATCAGAGAAATAATTATAGAAGTTAGTCCAGGTGTTTGCCTTGCATGCAATTAATCCTGATTCAATCCCCAACACCAAATATGGTCTCACAGCACCACTAGGAATGATCCCTGAGCCCTACGTTTAATCCCCAGCACTGCATGCTCCTAAAACACTGCTGGGAGTCACCTGCCAAGCACCAAACTGGGAGTAGTCGTTGAGCACCCCTAGATGTGGCTCAGAAACAAAACGAAACCAAAAAAAAATGCTTAAAGAACACACAGTAGTCTGTTTCCAGATATCTCTCAAATTGCTGAAGCACATGCTTTGTATGTGAGAGTCCCGGATTGGATACCCAGTGACACATGGGCCCTCAGCACCACTGGGAGGGACCCTTGAGCAACAAGCTAAGAGCAGCAACTGAGCATTGCCTAGTGTGATCCAGAAACCAAAAGGAAAATTTAGCAAATATAGTTTTTTCTAAAGTGTATTTATTGATACAAATTCAAGCACCAACCAAAGCAGGCAGAAGAACGCAAATGAACTGCTGATTTACAAAAATAAACAACATTCCAGTAGAGGTTTTAATTCAAATCGCCCTACCTACAGAAAAAATATTAAACATGAATGGCTTCATCCAAGTCCAGGCACACATCTGCATGAATGTCCAAAATAGTACGACCTTCAGAAGTGTTTAAAATGCATTCCATGTTTAAACCAGAACCCAGTGTTCTTTAGTCAGTTAACACTGCTTATATTTGGAGTTTATCCTGCTCACCTGAATTATAGAATCATCAGAGCTTGAAATCACGGTCTTTGCATCAACTGTGAATTGGATGTGCCGTACAATGTTCTTGTGCCCAATTTTAGATTGGAAGATTTTGTTGTTTAGGAGCTCTAAAACCTTCAAAATAGAAACAGAAACAGACACACACACACACACACACACACACACACACACACACAGAGTTATCAGAAAAATTCAGCGACATCCAGCATTATACCTCAAAGTGTTACATTAAAGTTAGAATATAAAAAGTAGAGAATTTCCTTCTCATAAGGCTTTCAGTTTACCTCAAGACAAACTAATTAATTATATAAGTACACATACACACATCTATAGGCTTGCCCAACACACATATACACACACTCCTTAAAAATAAAACATGCACTGGAATGACCAGATGGCAGGAGAAATCAATCCTTCTGAGTAGCCAACTACAAAACCATCAAACAAGTGGCAGTTGGGACTCAGCCTCCAAATGAAAATGACATTTAAGAATGATGAGAGAAAAACAAAACAAAACAAAAAAAATCCCAGCTGAGAGACAAGCACTTTATAAATAACAGATGGGCATAATAAAGAATAATGAAGAAATCAAGCAAAGAAAAACAAGGTATGAACAGACCTGAGGTGCAGAGGGGAAACACACTGAAGGAGCTTAAAGAGCTGGTGATTAATATCCAAATGTCGAGATAAAGGGACCAGAGAGAGAGTACAGTGGATAAGGTGCTTGCCTTGCGCACAGCTGACCTGCGTTCAATCCTAGCACCCCATGTGGTTCCCCAAAGCCCTGCCAGGAGTGATCCCCGAATGCAGAGTCAGGAGTAAGTCCTGAGAACCACCAGGCATGGCTCAAAAACAAAAGAGTAGAGGCTCCAGTACATATCACCATACCAAAAGCACCTGTGAGGCTAAGCATCACCAGACTCAGGATCACCAGGAGTGGCCACCTCTAGGGTAACCAGCTCTTCTGGAGAGCTCCCCCTCCAAAATAAACTGTTGTGATGCATTTCATCTGCAAGTAAGTCAGTTTTGATTACAATTTGGGGTTAGGGGTTGTTTGTTTTATGTCTCATTTGATAAGTTATTTCAAGTGGCTAAAAGACAATACATTAAATACCACAAATATTGCCAGAGTTAATCGAACAGGTAAGCATGCAGCAGTCCTGTACTAGTATTTTTAATACCCTCATCAATACCAAAAGGGAAACAACTGAGGCCTCTAGATGATTGAGATTCTTATTTTTAAATAAAAGCAAGGTGGCGGTTATCTTTACATAATTAACTAAATTGGGCTGGAGCAATAGCATAGCAGGTAAGGCATTTGCCTTGCCCGCAGCCGACCCGGGCTCAATTCCTCCGCCCCTACTGGAGAGCCCGGCAAGCTACCGAGAGTGTCTCGCCCGCACGGCAAAGCCTGACAAGCTCCCCATGACGTATTCAATATGCCAAAAACAGTAACAACAAGTCTCACAATTTGTTGTGAGACATTACTGGTGCCCACAAATCGATGAACAGGAGGACAGTGCTACAGTGCCTAAATTGCCAATAGAATTTAATATATTCGAGAAGATTTTTTAAAAAATGAAAGAATAGGACAAAAAGTATATGAAATAATAATAAGAGCAGTCTAAAAATTATACAAAAACAGAATTAGATTTTTTTCTCTTTCATAGATTTACACAAGTTCAAAATGATATTCATAGCATCTTCTAAATGTTGGTCGATCAAAAAATGCATTTAAACTTTGGAACATGTCCACATAGACAGGAAGCTGACACCAATAGTAGTTAGCGCAGATACCTGAGATAGAATTAGATTATTTTTTAGTATTATGAACAAAATGTGTACAGATGATCTGTTTAGTACATAAGTCTGCAACGTTAGGCATAAAACTAACCTTACATAAATAACTAAACTGCACAGAACTAAAAAGTAGATGTGAATTACCTTAATGGCTCCATCTTCATCTCCAAATGCGATGTACTGAAGTTGTGGACTCAAGCAACAGCAACTAACTTGAGCTTCAGTGAGATCATCAATTTGACCTGTTTTTCCATTAATAAGCTAATGGAAAATAAGACATAATCAGTTATTTGATTGTACAGCAGTGTCTGTTCTTTTGAATAGAGACTTCAATTGAAAAAATAAAATAAAACACAAAAAATAACCAACAAGAGCTCCCAGGGGAACCACAAAGCCCTCTCCTAGTCTCAGAGCTGCATTTAGCACTTCATGCTTCCTTTTCATTTCATTTTTCTGTGGTTCAAATACACTTTCATAAAATAAAATGAGCTTTAAAAGGTTTCCAAAGCTGTGCTGCGCCTACCACCTAGGACATATCAGTAGGATTTGTGATCCCACGGCGAGCTCTACGCCCTGTTTTCCAATTCCTCACCAAGCCCATATTAATAGGGCTATCACTCTTAAAATACATTTTTCTGATATTTTTCAGAAGGGCTAATAAAATAGAACTGAGATAGATCTTACATAAAAAGATAAATTCAAATTAAAGTGGGTTTATATTCTGCAAATCACTACACATAAAAGCAAATTAAAATTCTTTCCTTTTCTTTTTGAAAAAAGGAGAGGACACTGGGAAAGAATTCGTAAGTATAATTTGAATGGCTGAATTCATAATACTTAAAAGTTTTCCAAATTTCACAATCCTTACAAAGCTAATGATTTTTTAATCCTGCTAATAATGATGCCTTATCACTCGAAACATGTGATTTATAATTGTACCTCAGAAAATCAAGTACCTTGGAATCAGCTTAACTAAAGAAGTTAAGGAATACAAAGACAGCCCATGACATGGGAGAAATTATTTACCCAACACTCATCTGATAAGCGGTTAATATTGAAACTATATAAGACACTAGTAGAATTTTACAAGAAAAAATCCAACCTCATTAAAAAATGGGGAAAAGAAATGAACAGAAATTTTCTCAAATACAAATGGCCAAAAGGCACATGAAAAAATGCTGTCACTAATCATCAGGGAGATGCAAATCAAAACAACAATGCAATATCATCTCATGCCACGGAGACTGGCACACATCAAAAGAACAAGAACAGCTAGTGCTGGTATTGATGCATGGAGAAGTGGACTCTCATTCACTGTGGGTAGGAATGTCAACTGGTAAACAATTTTTTGATAAACAATATGGGAATTCCTCAAAAAACTAGAAATTGAAGTTTCCATGTGACTCAGCCATACCACTACTAGGAATGTATCCTGGGGGTGCCAAAATACAATGCAGAATACCCATCTGCACTCCTATGTTCATTGCAGCACTATTCACATTACCCAGAATCTGAAAACAACCCAAGTGCCTGAGAAAAAATGAGTAGATAAAGAAACTATGGTACATCTACACAGTGGAATACTATGCAGCTGTCAGGAAAAACGAAGTCATGAAATTTGTTTGTGCATGGATGAGCCTGGAAAGTATCATGCTGAGGGAAATGAGTCAGAGGGAGGTCAGACAGAATGATTGCACTCATTTGCAAGTTATTATATATATGCATATATATTTAAGATATTAATACCCAGGACAATGGAAATGAGGACCAAAAGACTGGGTCATAGTAGGAAGCTTGCCCGAGTATGCTGGGGAGGGAGCAAGGAGTGCAGTTAGGACAGAGAAAGGACCACTATGACAATGATAGTTGGAAATGATCACTCTGGACAAGAACTGGGTACTGAAAGGAAGTAAAGTGATGTGCATGATAAGCCCTCAGTAACAGTGCTGCAAACCACAGTGCCTTAAAAGAAAAAAAGGTGAGGGGAGAGAGACGTCTGCCACACAGGCAGGCTATGGGGGACTGTGGATTCTAATGACAACAAAAGAACACTCATAAGGGAACTGGGCATTGGAACATTGTACAACTGAAACTCAATCATGAACAATTTTGTATATCACACGGTGATTCAATTTTTTTTAAGATTTGAAACAAATTTTCAATTAAAAATCTTGAGAAAAAATAAAGCATATGACTTGGAAAAATATTTCTCAAGCTTAAATTAATTGTAAGGTATCTCTCTTAAAGAAATGGAAACATATCTGTTCATGGATCGGAAGGATCAATATTGTCAAAATGACAATCCTTTCTACCTAAAGCAATACAGATTCAATGCAGTTACTATAAAAAAAATACCCATGATATCCAGCAATTCCACTTATTGGAATACACCCCAAGAGGCCAAAAACATAATGTAGAAAAAATATATTTGCACTTCTATGCTCACTGTAGCACAATTCACACTAACCAAAATCTGGAAACAACCCAAATGTGCAAGAACAGATGACTGGATAAAGAAACTATGGTACAAGGGAATACTAGTCAGCAATAAGAAAAAAATGAAGTCATGCAACTTGCTGCTATGTTGTTGAATTTGGAGAGTATCATGCTGAGTGAAGTTAATCAAAGGGAGAGAGACACTGACGCAGAATGATCTCTCACATTTGCATGGGATATAAAAAAAAATCTCATAAGTGGGATATGAAGAAACATGGAGAACAAATGTCCAAAGGCAACTGAAATGAAGACCATGAGAACTGGGGGGGCAGAGCAATAGTACAGCAGATAAGGCATTTATTTGCCTTGCACGCAGCGAAACTGGGTTCAATCCCTGGCATCCCAAATGGTCCCCCGAGCACCTCCAGGAATGATTCCTGAGTGCAGAGCCAGGAGTAACCCCAGAGCATTGCTTGGTGTGCCCCAAAACAAAAACAAACAAACAAAAAGAATATGTGAGCTGGTCTTCAGTAGGAAGCTTTCCACTTAGGGGGTGTCAGAGGACAAGGAAGAGAACACTATGACATGGGCAGTGAAAGTAGTTACCCTGGAGGAGGGGGTGGTGGAAGGTGGAAAAAGTGTTAACATAAAACTCTATCAGTAATCGCAACGTGAACCACAGCACCTAAAATTTATTATTAAAGTGCCTGTCATAGAAGCAGGCTGGGGAATGGGAGGGAAATTGGGGACACTGATGGAGGGCAGTGGGCACTGGTGAAGGGACTGGTGTTGCACCATCTTATGCCTGAAACCCAAATATGAGTAAATTTGTAATTCATGACTAAAGTTTTTTTTTAAAGACACAGACCAAATGCTACTGAAATAATAAAACTCCCCAGAATCAAAGCAATCCGAGAGAAAGAAAAAAAATAGGGTCTTTTCTTTGTCTAACATTAACTTACACTGTAAAGCTATAGTAATTAAGGCAGCATGGTACTGGAGTAAAGATAAACTCTTGGATACATGGAATAGAACTGAGATTCCAAAAACAAATCCTCAAGCTGTCAAAGACAGCTAATCTTTGACAAAGAAGGAGAGTGTGAAGTGGAGCAAGGAAAGCCTATTGAACAAAATGGTGTTGAGAAAAGTGGCTAGCCATCTGTTAAAAATGAACTCAGACACTTTTCTCTCACCATGCACAAAAGTCAACTTAAAATGGATTAAAGACCTCAATATCAGATCTGAATCAAATGCTACTGAAATAATAAAACTCCCCAAAGAGTCAAAGCAATCCTAGAGAAAGAAAAAAAATAGGGTCTTTTCTTTGTCTAACATTAACTTACACTGTAAAGCTATAGTAATTAAGGCAGCATGGTACTGGAGAAAAGATAAACTCTATTGAAAAAAAACAGGTAGAACTCTTCATAAAATTGAATTTAGAGGTACCTTCAATCATTCAATACCACTGGCTAAGCAAACAGAAGCAAAGTCAAATAAATGGGACTACATCAAACTAAGAAGATTTTTCTCTACTAGAAAACATTGTTTTCTGTACTGGAAAACAATGACAACAGTAAAAAATATACCCACAGGGGGCTGGAGCAATAGTACAGTGGGTAGGGTGTTTGCCTTGCATGTGGCCAACCCGGGTTCGGTTCCCAGCATCCCATATGGTCCCCCAAGTACCGCCAGGAGTAATTCCTGAGTGCAAAGCCAGGAGTAACCCCTGTGCATCGCTGGTGTGACCCAAAAAGCAAAATAAATAAATAAATAACTACACCCACAAATTGACATAAAATATTTGCCAACCACTGAGTCAAACAAGAACCATCAACCCATAAAAAAAAGTGGGGAGACCAAATAAACAGAAATTTCCCCGAAGAAGACATACAGCTGGCCAAGAGGTATATAAGAGAAGGTTCTGTGTTGCATGTCATCAGGGAAATGCAAATTAAAACAATAATGAGATATCAACTCCCACCAGTGAGACGGGCACACACACAGTAATAAAAACAACAAGTATTGGTATAGATGTGGGGGAATGTTGACCGGTTGAACCTCTTTGGAAAACAATATGGACACCTCAATATACTAAGAATTGAGTTTCCATATAACCCAGCAATTCCATTACTTGGTCCCCAAGATTACAAAAACTCAAATCAGAAAAGACATTTGCGCCCCTGCATTCACTGCAACACTATTCACTAATCTGGAAGCAATCCAAGTGTTTAAGAACACTTAATTGGATTAACTATGGTATATATGCACAATGGAATATTAACTCTAAGACAAGATAAAAATCAAGCCACATGTAGATTACCAGCCCAGGCCTCCCAGGTGGGGAAAAGGTGCCGATATACCACCTGTTCCCCCTAGCAGCTTGGGGTCCGCCATCTTCCAGACGCCAATGGAGCCACCAGATCAAAAAAAGTCAACCCCAGTAAATGTATGACAGATGTCACAGTCAAATTTCCTTCACAACATAAAAGTATGTGAAGTAAAATGAGTCAAATAAAGACCATTTGGAGTTATTCTGTTTTATTTCATTCTTAATTTGGAGGCCACTGAAACCCAGTGATGCTCAGAGTTTCCTCTTGGTTTTGACAACAGGAGAGACAGCTAAAGAGACTTAGAGCACATTTTCCACCCAGAAGTCCCAGGTTTGATTCCTGGTATCACAGGAGTAGCACTTCAGATTGCAAAAAAAAAAAAAAAAAGAAAGAAATTGAAACCTGTAAAATACAAAATTAATTGTATTTAGGGGTATCTCATAGTTTTATTCTTATCCCTATAACAAGGAGAAATTACCACAAAGTGTAAATAATTTTAAATGTTTGGGTTTTTGGTTTTGTTTGGTTTTTGTTTGTGGTGGGGATGGGGAGATGGGGAAGACCATATCTGTAAGTGCCTGGGGAACCAACGGTGCCAGGGAGTGAACTCAAGGCCCCAGCCTGCAAAGCATGTACTGTTCCTTTGAGCCATCTAATTATCCCTCATAGAACATTTGAAGATGAGTACAACCTCAGAAGTGAAGAAAGTGAGATAATTTTTGTTGATTTTCAAGTATCTATTATTTTCCCTGTAATAATTCTTTCACTATCCCCCTTGGAAATGTCAGTAGGTACATCTCACTTGTGTAGAAAAATCAAAGTTTCTTCCCATATGAGAATTCATGCAAATTAAGAAAGGTGCCATAGATGAATGAAGAAACTTACTGCTTTATTTAGTTCTAAATTGTACTGCATCTAAGCCTGAGCTCAAAACCAACTGGTAACTGAACAAGTTATGTAGATATTCTAGAATTAAGTCTACTCCCAATCACCAAAACAATGAAAACTATGAATTGAGAGTTCAATCAAAACTATTTTACAACATTTTAAAACATACTTACTTGAAGATGTCTTATATTATCAACTGCAAGAACCATCACTTCATTTTCTTGAAACGAAACATCTATTTCTTGTTTTAACACTTTAGCGGAGTTCTCACATACTTTCTTTGTCTCCCAAAGCTGATTAAGAAATTTTTAAATAATGAGACAATAATTTTCACATAAAAATAGTTTTTTATACTTAGTGACTTTTACATTGGAGCTTTGTTATCCAATCAATTTCAATTCTAGAATTGTAACAACAGTTGTGGCTTTTGTCTACATTAAAATAAATTTTTAAAATATTTTTAAGTTATTAAAAAACTAACATAAAAATCTATATATCGTGAAATGATAAAGATAATTCTTAAATCTTATAGCAAAATACAGACTGTGCTTCACATTCAATATGCACATAATGTTAGAAATTTTTCATTTGCTTATATTTATATATTTCTGTAATAGATTATTTACATTATAAACAAAAAATTCATTAATTAAATGCAATAGTTCGAAGTAATTAGTATTAAGAGTAATGGATGCACAGACCGGAATCTATAAGATACATTGAGGAAAATGTTGGCAAAACCCTTCATGACATAGAAGCTAACGGTGTCTTCAAAGATGTCACACCACTGGCCAAGCAAGTGAAAACAGAGATAGACAGATGGGACTATCTTAAACTAAGAAGCTTCTGCACCTCAAAAGAAACAGTGACCAAAATACAAAGACAGTCTACAGAATAGGAAAGGATATTCACCAACTACACATCTGATAAGGGGTTAATTTCAAGGATATACAAAATACTGGTTCAACTCCACAAAAAGAAAACATTCAATCCCATCAAAAAATGGGGAGATTAAATGAATAGAAACTTTGACAAAGAAATCCAAATGGCTAAAAGACACATGAGAAAATGTTCCACATCATTAATCATCAGGGAGATGCAGATCAAAACCACAACGAGATATCACTTCACACCACAGAGACTGGCCCACATCCACAAGAACAAAAGTAACCGGTGCTGGCGCGGATGTGGCGAGAAAGGGACACTCCTTCACTGTTGGTGGGAATGCCGACTGGTTCAGTCCTTTTGGAAAACAGTATGGATGATTCTCAAAAAATTAGAAATTGAGCTCCCATTTGACCCAGTAATACCACTCCTGGGAATATATCCCAGAGAGGCAAAAAAGTATAGCCAAAGTGACATCTGCAATTGTATGTTTATTGCAGCACTCTTTACAATAGCCAGAATCTGGAAAAACCTGAGTGCCCGAGAACAGATGACTGGTTAAAGAAACTTTAGTACATTTACACAATGGAGTACTATGTAGCTGTTAGAAAAGACGAAGTCATGAAATTTACATACAAGTGGTAATACATGGAAAGTATCATGTTAAGTGAAATGACTCAGAAAGAGAGGGAAAGACATAGAAAGACTGCATTCATCTGGGGAACATAAAGTAACAAAATAGGAAACTAATACCCAAGAATGGCAGAGATTAGTACCAGGAATTTTACTCAATGACCCAGAGGACAACCACACGTTAGGGGAAAAGGGAGCTCAGAAAGAGAAGGGAACACCAAATAAAGGGCGTTGGGAGGATCCGCCCACGATGGGAGAGCATGCTGAAAGTAGACTATCGACCAAACATGATTGCCACTCAATGCCTCTTTTGCAAACCACAACACTCAAAAGGAGAGAGAGGGAAATGCCCTGCCACAGAGGCAGGGTAGGATGGGATACTGGGATCCGTGGTGGTGGGAAATGTGCACTGGTGGAGGGATGGGTGTTTGATCATTGTATAATTGAAACCCAAGCACAAAAATGTGTAAGTCTGAAAAAAAAAAATAAAATAAAATTTTAAAAAAAAAAGAGTAATGGATGCAGATGGATAAATAAGTTGCAGTGTATATATATAACTGTCACTGTCCTTCCATTCATTGATTTGCTCAAGCAGGCACCAGTAATGTCTCCATTGTGAGACTTCTTGTTACTGTTTTTGGCATATTGAAGATGCCATGGGGAGCTTGTCAGGCTCTGCTGTGCAAGTGGGATACTCTCTGGAGCTTGCCGGGCTCTCTGAGAGAGACAGAGGAATCCAACCTGCATCAGCCGAGTACAAGGCAAATGCCCTACCCACTGTGCTATCACTCCAGCACAGCACAAAAATTTTTTTATTTGACTTATTTCACTTAACATCATACATATCCTCCAATTCCATCCAAGTTGTACCAAACTGCAAATTCCATCATTTCTTACAACTGCATGAACAAATTGGATGGAATTGGAGGATATGTATGGTGTTAAATAAAATAAGTGAAATAAAAAAGGACAAATATTTATCTCACTCACCCCTAATATAAAGAAACAAAATAAGGAAATGGACAGCATCAAATGATAATAAATCCTTGGACACAGAGTAAAAACCTGGAAATATTAAGCAAGATGGCAGTGGGAGGAGGAAGAATGGAGGCTGGGAAATGAAAGAATGCCTGGAAGTGACCTTAGCTGACAGTATTTTGGTGGTGGTGAGGTGTGATAACTATGTATATCAAAATCATAAACATTGGTACTACTATAAACAGATGATCTAAGCTACAATAATTTAATTTTTAAAAATTTTTTTAAAAATTTTAAAGATTAATAGATGGGTAGAGCCAAAAAGTTAACAGTACAAAAACTAATTCCCACCTAGAGTTGTGATTTGGAAGGTTATTTAACCGAGTGCCAATTAAAATAAAAGACCTCCTGCTGGTCCTCAAAGTATCTAATTATCATCATGAAAAGAAGTTCTATCAGAATGTAAAGCAAAGTTTCTTTAACCAGTCATCTGTATTCAGGCACAGGGGTTTTTTCCAGATTTTGGCTATTGTGAACACTGCAGCAATGAACATAGAAGCACAGATGTCATTTTGATTGTACTTTTTTGCCTCTCCGGGATATATTCCCAGGAGTGGTATTGCTGGGTCAAATGGGAGCTAAATTTCTAATTTTTTGAGAATCGTCCATACTGTTTTCCAAAAGGACTGAACTTTGGTACATCCACATAATGGAGTACTATGCAGTTGTTAGAAAAGATGAAGTCATGAAATTTACATACAAGTGCTACTACATGGAAAGTATCATGCTAAGTGAAATGAGTCAGAAAGAGAGGAACAGACATAGAAAAACTGCATTCATCTGGGGTATATAAAGTAACAAAATAGGAGACTAACACCCAAGAATAGCTGAGATAAAGTACCAGGAGGTTCTCTCCATGGTTTGGAGGCCTGCTGCACATGCTGGGGGAAAAGGCAGCTCAGATAGAGAAGGGAGCACCAAATAAAAGGTGTTGGGAGGATCCTCCCAGGATGAGAGATGCATGCTGAAAGTGGACTGTAGTAGACTGAACATGATTGCAACTCAATGCCTCTTTTGCAAACCACAGCACACAAAAGGAGAGAGAAAACAAAAGGGAATGCCTTGCACAGGGGTGGGGTGGGTGGGGGGGTGGGATGGGGGGATAACGGGGGGGGGGTGGAATACTTGGGAGCATTGGAGGTGGAGAATGGGCACTGGTGGAGGGATGGTACTCAATCATTGTATAACTGAAACCCAAGCACAAAAATCTGTTTGTCTACAACTGTACCTCATGGCGTTCCACTAATAAAAATTAAAAAAAAAAAAAAAGTAAAGCAAGGGCATCCCTGAAACACTCTAACAGTTTCCTTTGTGTTACAATTGATTTTTTAACCATATTCTCTTGATGAAGGAAGCAAGGCAATGATAGACATTCTGGCTCAAGCCATTGAGACTGGCACATTAAATAGCACTGACTTAATCTTTGTGTCTGTTTCCTCTGTAGCAAAAAAAAAAAAAAAAAAAAACCAAACAAAAACAAAAAACACTGTTCTCCCGTTGTTCATCTATTTGCTGGAGTGGGCCCAGTAACGTCTCCCATTATTTTGAGACTTGTTGTTACTGTGTTTGGCATATTGAATACATCACGGGTAGCTTGCCAGGCTTTGCAGTGTGGGTGAGATACTCTTGGTAGCTTGCTGGGCTCTCCAAGAGGGGCAGAGGAATCGAACCCGGCTCAACCCGGCTGGCTGCGCGCAAGGCAAACGCCCTACCACTGTGCTATCGCTCCATTAATACATATACAGTACTTTGCACAATGCCTTGCGTTCAGTAAATACTAAAATAATTTGTACAAGATACTGTATTAGTTGCGGCAGCTAATAATACTATATTAGTACCTGGTTTCAAAAAGTTTATGATCTAAATATGTGTGAACAAGTCAGAGGAACAGTGAAGCACCAGCATAAATTAAATCTCTTATTCATAAAAGGCAGATTTTGGTATGTACCATAAGAAAATTATATATATGGAACTTTACCTCAATAACAAAAGATGAGACACATCCCCCAAGTGGAACACTTAAAAAAACCTTCCAGAGGCTTGAGGAGAATTGCAGGACCATTAAGATTTCATCAAGAAGATATATGGGAAAATGGGGTTTCTATACATAAGAAACCACATAAGCAAATACACAGCAACAGATTGTTACTGTGTCACTGTCCTTCCCTTGTTCATCGATTTGCTTGAGTGGGCCCAGTAACATCTCCATTGGAGTCTTTGTTGTTACTGTGTTTGGCATATCGAATACATCACGGGTAGCTTGCCAGGCTCTGCCGTGCAGGCGAGATACTCTCGGTAGCTTGCCGGGCTCTCCGAGAGGGGCGGAGGAATCGAACTCAAGTCGGCCATGTTGGCTGCATGCAAGGCAAACGCCCTACCGCTGTGCTATCGCTCTAGCCCACAGCAACAGGTAAATATACAAAATGTTTGGAAAAAATGTAAACAATCCAAGAAAGCAACTTGTAGAAATAAAATTAGATGAAAAACTGGAACAGAATGAAGCCATACTGTAGAGGAGATTAATGACAGACTTAGGAGTATATATTTCATTTGGTATGTAAGGGAGCAAATGTTTCAGGGCAATATGACTACATTGTAAATAAGGAAAATATCTTGAAAGCAACATATAAAAAAAACAAGAGAGAAAAAAAAGTTGTGGCAGAGAATAATAAAAGAATGGCAACAAGTAGTAAACAACTAAATTTGAAATGGAAAAGTAGAAATAAATGATAGAACATTGAAAAGTAGACTTTATTAGCATTGTCAAATAACTGCATGTAGGAATTTTAAGTAGAGGAAGAGAATCAAAAATTACTCTGAGGCTATATATATAAAAGCACACAAGGTTCAACCTCTAACATGTTAGTGATCTCTTATAGAAGGGCTTAACAGTCACTGGGTGAAATACAACAATTTCACCTTCTTTCCTCTAAGGATACATTTTTGTAGTATTTTCAGCGGTTTTTCAAAACAAACAATACAAATTACTGTGAGAGGCCAGAGTGACAGTGCAGTGGGTAGGGCACCTGCGTTGCACCCAGTCAACCCAGGTTCAATCCCTGGTATCCCATATATGGAATGCCAAGCAGCACCAGAGATATTCCTGAGTGCAGAGCCAGGAGTAACCCCTGAGCATTTCAGATGTGGACCGCCCCTCAAAAAACTACACTGAGAAATAAAACATAAAACATAATACATTTTAAAAGGGAAGTATAAGACCTATCTTCCTATTTACCCTAATATTGTTCATCAAATTTCTTTTTAGATGAGGCTGAGTTTACTCTAAGTAAAGGTAAAGGTAAAGGCCCTCCTGTTGATCGTCGATTTGCTCGAGCGGGCCCAGTAACGTCTCCATCATGAGACTTGTTGTTACTGTGTTTGGCATATCGAATACGTCACGGGGAGCTTGCCAGGCTCTGCCGTCCGGGCGAGATACTCTCGGTAGCTTGCCGGGCTCTCCGAGAGGGGTGGAGGAATCGAACTCGGGTCGGCCATGTTGGCTGCGTGCAAGGCAAACGCCCTACCGCTGTAAATGTATAAAATAAAAATGTCAATATTTCTCACCCTGATTGTTTGGTCATCAGAAGATGTCAAAAACGATGATCCGTCAGGAGAAAACATCACACAATGAACCCAACTTAAATGTCCTCTGCAATCAGCCACTTTTAAGCAGGATTCCATATTCCACAACTACAGAATAAACAGACCATATAGGAAATCACATTCATAAATATTGTGAATATACTATGGATACTGAACAATAAGAATGACTAAGCAATTCAACTTCTATGAACACAGTAAAAACACACTAGCAAAAATACAAAATGATTTGTACAGTTACTATTAATTGAATTATTTTTAATAGCAAAGAACTGTAAACAATCTAAATGATCATCAACAAAACCAACTTAACTATACTGATCATATAATGAAATATTTACAGCAATAAAATTTAGTTAACCTTGGTAGAGAGAAATGGACACTGGTGGAGGAACTGGTATTGGAACACTGTATCACTGTAGCACTGTTCTCTCCTTATTCATCTATCTATTTGATCAGGCTGGCACCAGTAATATCTCACAACAAACTGTGAGACTTGTTACTCTTTTTGGCATATAGAACATGCCACAGGTAGCTTGCCAGGCTTTGCTGTGCGGGCAAGATACTCTCAGTAGTTTGTCGGGCTTTCTGAGAAGGGCGGAGGAATTGAACCTGGGTCGGCTGCGTGCAAGGCAAATGCCCTACCCGCTGTGCTTCCACTCCAGCCCACTGGAACATTGGTATTTGAATATTGTATTGCCTGAAGCCCAATCATCAATAATTTTTTAATCCATGGTGACTAAATTTTTTAAAAATAAATTAAATTATAAAAAATGAGTTAAATACTCCCTTCTGGAGACTAGTCTTTGGATATTAGGAGAGTATATGTGTGAATGTAAGTCATTGGTATGTAATGCTAACTGTAGTTAATACTGCATCTTTCGAAGCTGCTAAGAGAAAGGCCTTAAAAGTTCTCATCACAAAAATAAATATTTGTGGGGGCTGGAGCAATAGCACAGAGGGTAGGGCGTCTGCCTTGCACAAGCCAAGTTCGATTCCCAGCATCCCATATGGTCCCCCAAGCACCGCCAGGAGTAATTCCTGAGTGCAGAGCCAGGAGTAACCCCTGAGCATCGCCAGGTGTGACCCAAAAAGCAAAAATAAATAAATGTTTGTGTTAATGTGTGGTAAAAATAAGTTAATTGAAACTACTGTGATGATCATTCCACAATATATACAAATACTGAATGTTTGTGCATTTAAAATATAATGTTATATGCTGATTACACCTCAAGTTTTATTTTAAAAAAGAAAGGGAGGGAATGGTTTGGGGAATTATTTCTTGGGATTTCACCTTATAATTTTTTTGTCTTTTCTGTTTAGAACATTTTTCTTTATTTTAAACTTTTAATTAAAAAACAACATTTTTAGTGGGGCTGGAGTGACAGTACAGCAGATAGGGTGTCTGCCTTGCATATGGCCAAACTGGGTTTGAGTCCTGGCATCCACATCCCCCTAGCCCACCAGGAGTAATTCCTAAGTGCAAAGGCAGAGGTAACCTCTGGGCACCACCAAGTATGGCCCTAAAACAAAACAAACCAAAAAATAGTTAAAAAAAAATAAAAGGAAAGGGAACCTTGCCCCCCACACCTCTGCCTCAAACTGCTGTGCCCAAGTCATCCATCGCCGCCCACTCCGGACACAGAACAACATCCAGTCATGAATGAAAATGAGCAGGGGCAGAAGGCCAAACTGGCAGAGCATGCTAAGCTCTGCATGATGACATATGATGACATAGCAGCCTGAACAAAGTCTGTAACTGAGCAAGGAGCTGAATTATCCAATAAGGCAAGGAATCTTGTCTCATTTGCTCATAAAAGTGTTGTGAGGATCTCATAGGTCATCTTGGAGGGTCATCTCCAGTACTGAGCAAAAGAAGGAAGGTGCTGAGAAAAAGCAACAGATGGCTTGAGAACACAGAGAAAACTGAGACTGAGCTAGGAGATATCTGCAATGATGTACTGTCTCTTTTGGAAAAGGTTTTGATCCTCAATGCTTCAAAAACCAACAGAGACTACAATAGATACTTGGTGGAGGAAACCTTTCAGTACCTGTACTGCAAACCAATATGCCCAAAAGGAAAAAGAGAGAGAGCCAGAAAGAAAGAGAAAAAAGAAAAGTGCCTGCCTTCAATTTTGCCTCTATTCATTCGGTGCACAGGTTACCTTTTTCATCCTTTGTCTTGTTGCCAACCATTACTACTTGGTGGCCACGTACTTGAAAAAAAAAAAATTCTACAAGATCTTTCTGGCTCCACTCAATGTCTAAGGATATCTTGCTTTTTTTTGCTTGCATCCCACAAACTATTTCCTCAACCTATTACTGCAGCTGGAGCGATAGCACAGCGGGTAGGGCGTTCGCCTTATAAGTGGCCAACATGGCCGACCCGAGTTCGATTCCTCCGCCCCTCTCGGAGAGCCCGGCAAGCTACCGAGAGTATTCGATATGCCAGACACAGTAACAACAAAGTCTCCAATGGAGACGTTACTGGGCCCGCTCGAGCAAATCGACGATCAACGGGAGGGCCTTTACTTTACTTTATTACTGCAGCAAAGCTCTCCTTAATTGATAAGATTGTGTTTATCTCCCTGGAAACTGCCACTTCTGAGTGGTCTGTCACTGTCTGCCTTTAACTGCCCCCACCCCCTTCCTCTTGAAATAATGATGGGGCTAAATTATTCCCAAAGCTCATCCTACTGTCTCCTAAGTACCTTGAAGAAAACACCAATCAAAAATAACATTTGTCTCGTCCCTCATGCCGTACTGAGGTCACGAGTTGCCCCCCACGAGCGGCTCGCTGGCACGGCCATGGCTCCAGAGGCCAAAGGACTTAGTTCAGAGCCCGACAGCTTGTGGCAGAAAAGTGAATGGACCATGCGTTCAACTACGGGGCCATGTCTTCTGGGAGGGAAAGGGTGTTGCTCCCTTCCGCCTTCTTCCCGCCCCCACCACCCTGGCAGCAAGGTGGCCGCTGCCTCAGAACTTAAAGGAAAGCCAAGTGACAGCAACTGCAGTCTCATGGGAAGGGGGGCGCTACCAGCTCGTCCTTCACGCCCTACCGAGGTCACGAGTTGCCCCTCATGAGTGGCTCTCCGGCAGAGCCATAACACCAGATGCACAGAAACCAATCTGGTAATGATCTGGCTCTTTGCAGAAATCCAAAATCATTATATGACATTATATGATTCTCATACCAGCTATAGAAAACAAAGTATTTCACAATGCCCTGTCAGCAATTCTGATTGTTGGGGGGGAAATTCTAAACAATAATGGTGCATCTTTTGTCAAAATAATGAATGTAATCAATGTAGAGAAGAGTTAAGTAGAAATCATCTGTCTCACAGGCATTGGGAAGGGTGGGAGGGGGGTATATTGGGGATCTTGGTGGTGAAAAATGAGTACTGGTGAAGGGAAAGGTGTTTGATGATTGTATGATCGAGACTTAAACCTGAAATCTTTGTAACTTTCCCCACAGTGATTCAATAAGGTAAAGGTCAAGGCCCTCCCGTTGATCGTCGATTTGCTCGAGCGGGCCCAGTAACGTCTCCATTGGAGACTTTGTTGTTACTGTGTTTGGCATATCAAATACTCTCGGTAGCTTGCTGGGCAGTGATTCAATAAATAAATATAAGAAGAAAAAATAAATAAAATTATGAAAAAAAAAGTAAGGTGGAGTTCATGCCCAATTCAATCCGCTAATCAGCGAATAAATAGCAGTACTCCTACATTAAAAAAAATAATAACATTTTTTAAAAAGTGTACTTTTTTTTCCCATTTAGAATGTAAGCTCAAGAGAAGGACATTATTTTCTATTGTGCCTGGTATACTGTAAATGTTCAATAAGTATTGATAATGGGAGGTGGCAAGACTTGGAGATAAAGGGTGAGAAACTGAAATTTCCACCAAAGAATAGTAATAAATTTAAAATAAATTTTTAAATGAGAAGGCATAGGAATGAAAGAGACTGAAAAACATAAAAGTTGATATGGAATCATGTGAATGTTTTATCTACTTAAAAAAAAAACAACGAAATTAACCTAAAAAATAAACAGGAGGAACAAAACTAGCTCCCAATTTCAAATTACTTTCCACTGTTATCTAATTCTCATTTCAAGTAACTGCAAAAAATCCTACAATAAATGAATGTACTAATTATACAAGTACATAACTCTCTTTTTATTTGTGCTAATTATAATTGCTCGTGCCTGCACCAGCCTGGTTATATTTTGTCCTAAGTTCCGCTGTAACTTGCTCAGATATATTCCAGTCTAATGAAATACCATATGACCATATGTGCCTGGGTTCTTCTGATTACACTCTAAATTACAGGAGGCTGAAAAGAAAAGGCTGAAAGAGGGTTGTTCCTTCACTCCTAAAAATCCTGATAAAACAAAGAACAGGGGAATTTGGAGATTTGGGTGAGGGGCGGGGGGGAGTGAGGCACACCCTGTGATGCTTAGGGATTACTCTTGGTCTATGCTCAGGAGTCACTCTTGGCTTCCCTGGCAGATCTGGGGGTCCATCTAGGGATCGAACCCAGGTCAGCCACAAGCAAGGCAAATACCCTACCCACTGTACTATCATTCTGGCCCCAATAAGGGGAAATTTCCAATCACATTACCTTGAGGAACTATAAGTAAGAGAGAGGATTCCCTGGAAGATCTAAGTTTTTGATTCAAGGTCTCTGCTGAAGAAAACGCCGCCCATACCACTCCTTCTCTTACCTCTGCTTCAAACGGGACTAAAACGCATTCACACACATGGCCCTTCATTCTAATGGGAAGAATGTTTGCAAGCAAGTTCTATTTTTTTTTTGGAGGGAGGCACATCTGGAGGTGCTCAGAAGTCACTCCTCACTGGGTGCTTGGGTTCCATACAGTGTCTTAGAGAACCCAGCCCTCCAGATACAGTGTTTGAGCTAAATCTGTTGAGTTATCTCCCTTGCCTGAAAAGGAAGCTCATTAATACCCATTGCACTGTTACCCATAAAATTAGGAGACGCTTCCAGAACTCATCCATACTCTCATCTGAGTCTAATGTTGAAGGTCTATAACTCTGCAACTCTACTTCCACCTATTCATAGTGAGGGGCAAGGTTGTCAAACTAACAAAAACTATTGAAATAAGCACAGAATGATGAAAAAATGTTTGTAGTAGTTAAGCTTCCTTTCAAAAGAGACTGTGAACCAAACAAACTTCCTGATTTCTAGATACAGATCCATACCCACCTTGTTGAACTGTAATCACAAATGGTTTGAAATTACTGAAGGTTAAGACCCACTCTTAGTATAAATGCTTGGACAAACTGATCTACCTTTGGAGGAAAAATTACCAAGAAATTCATTAACTGAAAAAAATTAAAGAAGTGATTTTTAGGTGGGATTCCACCAGAGACAAAGGTATAGTCTAAATTAAAATTCTATCAAGAGGATGTAAAATTTAAAATAAAATCTAATAGTCATTTTATGCTTAACACTCTAGATTAACTAATCCTAATTTCCATGTTACCTTTTTCAGTAATCTAAACATTCTGAATCAAACTCATCTCTCATCAATTCCTTTACAGAAGGATCTGCATGGGTGGTTTTTTAACAGATGCCATGTTTCTGCCTGAGAAATCATGATGAATTTCAATATTCCCTAGACCCTGGATCATGCTCGCCACTCAATAAAGCGTGGTGAATGGTACTACCATCACTCCCTGGAACACTGTCAAATCAAATTAAGTCTTCGACAGCTGCTAAAAAAATGAAACATCCAGTTTAGTTTAATATCCTAAGCTATAGGTCACTATACTATGAAGATAATACAACTTATCAAGCAAACTTTTCTAGCAGTTAATGGTATACACAGTTCACTGCTTGCCACCCTTGTACTTCTGAACACCTTGACTTCAGAGTAAATACAGCACTCACCTCCACACAGTACTGCGATAAAGTCACCACCGCCAAATGATTCTGAGGGGAGAAGTCACAGTACTGGATGGTGCTGTTATGGCCTGTATGGACTTCCGCCAACAAACTGCTGGTATGAATGTCAAAAAGCTGCCAACATAAAAACAAAGAAATGTCTATGACAGTGAAACATTTTTAAAGTTGCAGCAAAATTTCATCTAATTTCTAAAATAATATCCCCTCTCTCAAAGAAAAAAAATCTGTTCTGAAGAAAGACTCTAATTACTGATAACTGGCATAATTATATTTGATATCAAAATTAAGATATAAGAAATTATATACTTTGGGTTTGAGGGGTGGAGGTGGGGCACACTGGCAGTGCTCAGGGTTACTCCTGGCTCTGCACCCAAGAATCACTCCTGGCAGTGTCTGATGAACCATATGTGATGCTAGGGATTAAACCTGGGTCATTTATATGCAAGTCAAGCATTCTACCTGCTATACCATTTCTCTGGCCCTAATTAGAATTAATTAATACTTTTAAAAGACTGCTCATCTCAAAACCTGACTCCTATAGAGGAAAATTTATCAGAGATTATCTCTCATGATGACCTGGAAAGAAAGAACACTTTTGTGAATGGAAGAATAGATTAGCTAAATTAACAAACAGAGCAGCCCTCCTTTGTGAGAAAATGCATACTTATAAATGAAGATCGAAATCATATAGAACAGAGAGACTTTTCAAAATGAAAGCAGCCAATCCTTTTTATTTATCTTTTGAGTTACTGAATTATTCCATTACAATGAATCTTTTTCCCATTTTGGAACCCCAATAAAGCTATTTATTGAGTACGGCAATGTTCTTCATTTCCATCTCTGAAAGACTTTTTAATGCTGAATATAGTCTTCTAAAGTTTTTGACAAATGATGAAAAATCATTTCTAATAATACACAGTGTAGCAATATAAGAGGCAGGAAGTCTTCAGGAAGAAAAGCTTCCAGTGGGAACCATGTAAACATTCTGTAAACGCACAGATGGTAAGATGCACAGTATCAGGAACCAACAATAAAGGACAAGAAATCATACTGAAAATACTTCCCAGGAAAATTCGTGCTTAAAAATTAGTTGGCTGAGTGATATAGAAAATTACAAATATGAAATAAACAGTTTTTCTAATTACTAGGTACAAAAACAAAATAATAAGTGTGTGCTAACTAAAAGGAGTGGGATAGGGGAAAAAATACAAACTAGCCTAACTGGAAAAAAGTAAGAGAATAATGAAGAGACCAAAGAGAAAGTAACTGAATTTTTTAAGTAGAGAGATGGCTCAAAGGGTTAGACAGAATACATGTTTTGCATGCAGGAGACTTAGGTTTGATCCCAGGCACCTCAAGATCCCCTAACTATTGCTGGACTGGCCCCCAAGCATCACTATGTGGCCTAAAGGTTAAAAAGAAAAAGAAATTAAATATTACACATAGTTAAGGATGAGCGTACAGTAGCTTTATTTTAGCATGATAAAATATGGAGCTTATCTACAGATTTTTAAAATAAGGTACTTTATACAATGTAAAATTATTTTCCTTTTTTCACCATCTCTCCAGGCCAACTCATTTAGTTTCCATATAACTATATGGAATATTTCAATTTTCTTCTTTAAGATTATATCAGCTGAGATTGGTAAAAACTACATACAAGTTACAAGATGAACAATGTCTGAGGATGTAATGTGTAACACTGACTATAGTTTATAACTTTGTGTAAGTGAAATTTATGTAACCTAAAAGTTCTAAGGAAAAACAACAAAAAAGGTAAATATGTGAGATGAGATATTTTAATTAACTCCCAGGGTGGGGAGGTGGGAAGTGTCTTCTACAACAAATATGAATAGCAAGTCATCAATCCATCATATCGTACATTTCAAAATTTTATCTTTAATCATATCGTATCTTAAGTTTTATCTGTTAATTATACCTCAATTAAGCTAAAACATTTTAATTGTATTATCTCTCATTCAAGTCTTTTAAAGCAAATAATAGAATGTAATATCAGTGAATTATAAATCAAAAGTTGGGCTCTCCAAATCATGGTATAACTGTAGAAATTTTCTGATTCTTTGAATCTATTTTCTCATTATCATAGGGTTATTAAAATTTTGTATATCCTGCATACTGTTAAGGAAATTATATGTGAAAGAACTAAAATATAACAAATATAAATTACCATGATATTTAGAGGGGGAAAAAGGGAAGGCATTTCCTGACATTTAGTATCTTTGCATGTCTTCCTCATTAACGTCACTGAAATTTTAGTCTTCTCCAGTCATTGACAAGTACTTGTCACTAGCAATCATGAAATTATAGAATTTTAGGGTAAGAAAACACTTTGAAAATAACTTGAATCAATGTATTAAAACAATGTATTTAACAGATGCAGAATGGATCCCAGGTTTGAAGTACATTTGAAAAGCAGTAGACTAAACATGTAGCTTCTGTATTGTAAGAATTCTTTGTTGTTTTTTGTTTTGTTTTGTTTTGTTTTTTTGTTTTGGGACCACACCTGACTGTGCTCAGGGCTTATTCCTGGCTCTTTGCTCAGAGATCACTCCTAGTGAATCTCAGGGGACTGCAAGAGGTACCTGGGTCAGCTGCATGCAAGGCAAGTGCCCTACCTGCTGTTCTACAGCTCCAGCCCTGTATTATAAAATTTCTTAAGACAGTACATATGTTAGTATACACTGAGCAGAGCTCTACTGAGAGAAAACAAGACACAAGATTTCTCAAACCTGAATGAACACCAAGATCTTTTCTCATAAAGCCCACAAACATTCCCTGGAGCAGTTTTGAGAACTATGAGCTAGGGATCCTGCCCAAAATAATTCATCTAGTTTTATCAATTAACTGTATATAGTGTAAAAAATCTGCAAAAGTTGGTTTTTATTTTAAATTCAACTAAATTTTACTTTTTACAGTCCTGAGGATTAAACTTAGAATCTCATATGTGCAAGACAGGTGCTACCTCCCTGAGCCACATCTCCAGTCCCTAAGTTGGATTTTTTTAAATACTTAGGGGCCTGAGAAATGGAACAGTGGACAGGGTGTCTGCCTTGCACGCGATAGACGTGGGGTCATTCCATAGCATCTCTTATGGTCCTCCCAGTCCACCAGGAGTGATCCCTGAGTGCGCAGAGCCAGGAATAAACCCTAAACATTGCCAGGTGTGGCACCCAAACCAAAATTAAATAAAATATAATACTTACAAAGATTTTATTTTTTGCTGCCACCATGATTTTAGCACCGTCAGCTGACCATGAACAACATTTCACTATCACCTCCAAGTCTTCTTGAGGCCCTTGTGAATTCAGGAAGAACTGCTTCACATTAATGCTTTTGCTCTCATTTGCTGATTTCACGTCCCAAAGCTTCAAATTGCAAACATTCGGGGGAAAAAAATTAAGTTTACTTTAATCCCAAAAGACACCTTCCTGGTTATCTCCTGGTTATCAAAATTATTTAATTCATCTAATGAATGATTTTTGTATTTTCATGACTTTAACTTTTAAATTTATTGCTCTTGGTTCATTCAATACCTTTCTAAAAAGGAAAACAAAAAAGAATGCCCAAAATTTAGAATGCAGATTTAGAATAAAATATTTTTTAAAAAGACCTTTGCACAATGTGGAGAAGGCTACAGACAGTTAAGGAGACTTAAGAGAAGAGAATGAAGAGACTCATGACTTGTCACTGCTGCCCTCTGCTGTCCCAAGCGTGAAGCTGCTTTGCCTGAACACTCAACTCCAGCTAAGGAATAACTGAGAAAAGAGCATGCAGAATACATAAAGAAACCCCTGAAAAAAAATACAACAAGGACCTTTTGTATGCTTGGTGGGGACACACCAGGTTATACAATAACGGGAACTGAAGTGATGGGCACAAAGCCCCCACTCACTCCCCAGCACAGTTGCAGGAGCAGCATGAAAGTCACTTGTGCTCAAGAAGATTCACTCCTAGGAGGCTTCAGGGTCCTGACTCAGAGTCAGAATAGTTGCCATGTCCAGACCACTGAAGGTGGAGAAGGATGAGCATCAGAAACCTGCTGCTCAGGCAATAACCAGCTTCCAATGCTGAGGACCAGGTAAAAATTTAGCCAGGCACCCATCTTTCTAATTTCTCTCAAGTTTAAAGAGACCACCTGTCTCTTATAGAGACAGAAAGAAAAAGAGAAGAACAAAACCAAGATCTCTCCCCCCCCTTGAAACACCTGTATGAATTAGTTAATGCAGAGAAGACTTCCTTCCATAATGCTAAAGAGAAAAAAAAATTCCCAATATAAATACTAGACACTTTAGTCATATCCATGAGAATATGAGAATACTGTTTTCCTCTTAATATGAATAAAATAATCATTGCCTAGATGCAAGAAAATGGGTAATCCAGTCTCATTACATCTGCCTAAACTACCGCATCTGAACCTGACTTCAACTCCTATATATGGAATAAAGAAATTCCGTATGAGAAGCGGGTTTAATACTGTCCTGTACCTGTGGCCCAAAGACACCCTCATCCTTGTGTGGTTTAAATATCAGTTTTAGGGGCCAGGGAGATGACACAGTGAGCAGGATGCTTTCCTTACACATGGCTGACCCAGGTTTGCTCTCTGGCATCACATACGGTCCTCCAGCAATGCCAGAAGCGATCCCTAAGCAGAGTCAGGAGTAATCCCTGGGCATCTGCTAGGTGTAGCTCAAAAACCAAAAATAATAATCATTTTTTAAAAGCATTGGTCTTGGGGCTGGTGCAATAGCACAGCCGGTAGGGCATTTGCCTTGCACGCGGCCGACCCGGGTTTGATTCCCAGCATCCAGTTTGGTCCCCCAAGCACTGCCAGGAGTGATTCCTGAGTGCAGAGCCAGGAGTAACCCCTGGGCATCGGCTGGGTGTGATCCAAAAAGCAAAAAAAATAATAAAAAACAAAAAAATAAAAACAAATAAATAAAAGCATCGGTCTTTAGACAAAACTCAAATCTTTAAAAAGAAATGCAACGCCCGCTCCTCTCTGGAAAGAAAGATGGCGGCTGCACGGGAGCCTTGTGGACAGCAGGTTTGAGCCGGGGGTGGTGGGAGCGGCAGGGACCTCATGGGAAGGGGGGCGTAATGGGCCGTCCTTCACGCCCGACCGAGGTCACCAGCTGCCCCCCACGAGTGGCTCTCCGGCACGGCCACGACTCCAGGGCACAGAAACCAATCTCTTAACTAGCTAACTTTTAATAGAAATTCTTCCAGGGTCAATAAGTAAAATAGCAGAAATCCAAAACCGCGCAGCCGCTATTGCGGCCGCGCAACATCATTTTATTCTTAAACCAAGTTGTAGAAAGCAAATCATTTCACAACGCTGTTTCAGCATGTCTGATTGTGGGGGGTGGGTCGTAAACTCTAAACAATAATTGTGCATCTTCTATCGAAATAATCTACCTAGTCAAAGTAGATAGAGTATTAACTAGAACTCATCTGCCTCACAAGAATTGGGAGGGGTGGGAGGTGGGGATCTATTGGGGTTCGGGGTTAAAAATGAGTATTGGTAAAGGGAAATGTGTTTGGTATCTACATGACTGAGACCTAAACCCGAAAGCTCTGTAACTTTTCCCACAGTGATTCAATAAATAAATAAATTATAATAAAAAATAAATAAATAAATCTTAAAAAAAAAGAAGAAATGCAAGCTTTTCAATATAATACCCTCAAAACACTTAGAAGACTACAGAGCTCTTTGAGACAGTAAATAATTTTACAGTACTTCATTCTCTCAGAAGAGAAAAGCTACAGAAGACTCTGACCTTGCAATGTTGCTAACCAACAGCATTTTGCAGGACCTCTGCTTCCTATGTGTCACTGTTTCTGTGCACAGCAGCTCAATAGCAGCACAGTGAGAAAGGTGCCACTAGCACACAGCAGTTCTCACCAAGGGGCAGTCACGTCTGTCCCCTGCTACTCAGACTCTGTGCTCTAGAAACACATCCTGCTACTCACACATGAAATCAAAATCCTGTCTCTGAAGACCATTTCAGTCTTTTCATTCTCTTGTATCTGGAGAAAGTCTATCTAAAGCTTTATCATCTTTAACATATTTTTAACTAATCACTCTGAGACCCTATACGTGAATCAAAGATAGATACTACTCTCAAGGGTCTGAGAGGTCAGTCAAGTGGAGTGAAGGCTCAGGGGTCAGCATAAACTAAGGTACAAACTGGGGGAGTAAAACACTGAAAGGAGAATATGTTCAGTCTGGGTGTGGCTTGGATTCCTGCACATCTCCGGGTGAAACCCCACCACTCTCAGAGCACCCTCTACAGACTTCAGGCCAAGAAACATATACTTCTAATTCTAAAGTGTTGAAAGCCCAAGTGCCTCACACAGTGTTCTGGCACATACTATTTACTCACTAAATGAGAGAGAGAGACATATTTTATGGAAAAAAAGAAAAAATGAGATTATGCCACCTTTCAAGCATAGATAATATAGACAACGATGTTATTGAAAGAAACATATACATTCATTTTCATCTCTTCCCAAAAACAGGCAACACTAGGAAAGAAAAATATTCTCCCCAAGAATAATTCACAAGGAGAACAGAGGAACAACTTACAACAAAATTGTAAAGGTCAGAAGGCAGAAAGAAAAGTGATAAGTGATAAGATGCTTTGTCTAAAAAAAATAGAACTTAAGGGGATTGGAGAGATAGCACAGCGAGGTAGGGCATTTGCCTTGCACACGGCCATCTATACCTGTTGGTCATTGTGACACTGTTCACAATAGCCAGAATCTGGATACGACCCGAGTCACGACGACTGGTTAAAGAAATTTTGGTACCTCTACACAATGGAATATTATGCAACTGTTAGGAAAGATGAATTCACGAAATTTGCTTATAAGTGAATGGACATGGACAGTATCATGCTAAGTGAAATGAATCAGAAAGAGAGGGACGGACACAGAATGACTGCACTCATTTGTGGAAAATAATATAACATAATATGCAAGTAGCACCCAAGATAAGGGCCAGGAAGACTGCTCCTAAGTTGGAAGCCTGCCTCATGAACTGGGGGAGAAGGCAGCTGGGATAGAAAAGGGATCACTACTGACGGTTGGAGGGATGGCTCGGAATGGGAGATGTGTGCTGAAAATAGATAATGGACCAAACATGATGGTCTCTCAGTATCTGTATTGCAAACCATAATGCCCACAAGTAGAAAGAGAGTAAGAGGGAAACTGTCTGCCATAGAAGCAGGAGTAAAGTGAGATGGTAGAGAAAGGATACTGGGGACACTGGTGGCAGAAAATGTGTACTGGTGGAGGGATGGGTGTTCGATCATTGTATGACTGAAACTCAAACTTGTAAGTTTTGTAACTGTATCTGATAGTGATTCAATGAAAAAATAATAATAAAATTAATTTTTTTAAGTTGTATGAGAAAAGAAAAAGCTTCTACTTCATGACTCAACTGTGATCAGAAAAACTGATAATCACTGATCTCATCAGTCATAAAATATAGGAACCCTAAAAAGTGTGTCAAGTTTACGAAGAAAAGGGACTTGGTTTGGTTTAGAACACCCAAAGTCTGAGGCAAGTTTTATCATCTAAGTGACAACAACTTGTGGGCATTTAGGGAAGCAGGACAGACACAGAAGACCTGAGGACTGGAGGTAACATATCTGAAAGTCATTCATAGGAAAGATGAAACCATGGAACTATATGAACTGGAATGAAGAAAGGTGATGGAGGTGGGAAGTCAAGGCTGGATGGTTGAGAACAGCTACACTTAAGTACGCCAGAAAGAAAGTTCACCATTAGAACTGAGAGGAGAAATAATTAAAAACTGATGGCAAATGAGAATCATTTGAAAAAGGAAATATAGGTGGGTGAGCAACAAGGAACTGACACACTGGTGAATACAACAAATCAAACATAGATGAAAAGACCTTAACTCAACAGCAAAGGAGGGTTCCTGGAATTTCACAGCTCAAATCTGTAGAACAGATGAACAACCAGTTTTCAAAACTTTCTGAGACATTTAGCAATCTAATACAGACTAATACCAAAGATAACGGAATCAGCACAGAACCTGTAGTAAACATTGGGAATAAGATGATACAATACAATTCCAGAACCTGGCTAGAAATTGTAAATGTCTTCTAAAGATATTCACTTTATTTTAAAAAATAAAAAACAATGAAACTGAAAGATTCTCTCAAGAGAAACTTGCCTTCACCTATGTAGAGACAAAGATAGTTTCCAGAGAGGAGCTGAGGGACCAGAGTGAGATAGCACAGCAGGCAGGGCATTGAAGTTGCATGAAGCTGACCCAGATTTGAAACCCAGCATCCCATCTAATACTCGAGTCAGCCAGGAGAGATCCCAGAGCACAGAGCCAGGTTTGTCCCACTCCAAAAATAAATAAATAAAAGGAAGAAGAAAGGAGAGGTCACACGATGCATGTTGGGAAGGCGGCAGGTGGGCCCAGCCCTCCATGATCAAGAATGCCATGCGGGGGAAAAAACTCTCCTCTGAAGTGGATCATTCCATGTACATTTAAGCCAAAACTGTTTTAACTAGTATCTACCTAATCAAAGTCCCAGCATTTATTAACTGTTAGCTAAATTCTAGAAAGGATGATTCTACCCAGAAAGGGTTCCTAGATGCCTTAAAGTAATTGATACAAATATTAATTAAATTATATTAAACAAGTACAGAGATATCAATAATGATAAACCTCAGGATCAGCATCAAGAGATCCTTTACCTTACATAATTTAAGAGTTATTAGTAGTGGGCTGGAGCGATAGTACAGTGGGTAGGGCGTTTGCCTTGCACAAGGCCGACCCAGGTTCAATCCCTGGCATTCCCATATGGTTCCCCAAGCACCACCAGGAGTAACTCCTAAGTGCAGAGCCAGGAGTAATTCCTGAGCATTGCTGGGTATGACCCAAAAACAAATAAACAAACAAAAGTTATTAGTAGCATTAATAAATCTCACTCTCTACACAATCTAGACAGAGTATGTAGGATTTAAGTATTTCCCATAAAAAGGTACATACAAGAAAATTTATTGGAATAAATTTTTAGTGGTTGTGTGTATGATAAACTTCAGAGATATGCAGGAACACAAAAGACAAGAAAGTCTCTGCAGATCCTAAATCTTTATTTCACCTTACCAAGGAAAAAGATTCTGGAAATGAGTTGTTCAAAGCAGTTGCAAGTGAAAGCAAGAAGACAAAGTAGCTTCTATCTATGTAAGAGATATAGATAGATAGATGCACGTGCACAGGAGTATTCGACTGACTTGGGTTCCATCCCTGGAACCACATATGGTCTCCTGAGCACCCCCAGGAGTGTTTAACTGGCCATAGACACGTGTTTAAGAGAAGAGTTCCTGAAAAAGAACTGTGCAAAAAGTTTTGAGTCATTAAAAACCACATGACTGGTAGTCAAGTCAGGTCAAATGAACTGTTGCCCCCTCCCCAATAAATCCCATGAAAAATTAATAAAACTGTAAGGACTATAACTGAAGTCCCCCAAATTACCCTGGCCTAGCCACACACGCTAGGGGAAAAGGCAGCTCAGAAAGAGAAGGGAGCACCAAATAAAGGGTGTTGGGAGGATCCTCCCAGGATGGGAGATGCATGCTGAGAGTAGACTATAGACCGAACATGACTGCCACTCAATGCCTCTTTTGCAAGCCACAGCACCCAAAAGGAGAGAGAGAACAAAAGGGAATGCCCTGCCACAGAGGCAGAGTGGGATTGGGGGGGGGCGGGGTAGGGATACTGGGATCGATAGTGGTGGAGAATGGGCACTGGTGGAGGGATGGGTATTCGATCACTGTATAACTGAAACCCAAGCACAAAAATTTGTAAGTCTATAACTGTACCTCATGGTGTTTCACTAATAAAAATTTAAAAAACACTGTCCTCCCGCCGTTCATCAATTTCCTCGAGCGGGCCCAGTAATATCTCTATCGTGAGACTTTGTTGTTACTGTGTTTGGCATATTGAATACGTCACGGGTACCTTGCCAGGCTTTGCCGTGCAAGCGAGATACTCTCGGTAACTTGCCGGGCTCTCAGAGAGGGGCGGAGGTATCGAACCCAGTTTGACCAGGCTGGCTGCACACAAGGCAAACACCCTACCACTGTGCTATCGCTCCAGCCCATTTAAAAAAAAATCAAATTACCTGGCCAGAACATATCATTAATAACAGAAGAAATAAATGAATAGGGAGGAAGACGGAAGAATGATAGATGGTAAGAACCTTAAAAGAGTTTTGAGGAGCTTGAATCTATCACAATTAATAATATGGTACTTTTTTGTCTTGCTTTGTTAATTTGGGTAGGTAGTGGGCCCACTCCCAATGGTGCTCAGAGCTTTCTCCACTCCCTATACTCAGGGATCAATCCTGGGGGGTGCTCAGGAGACTGTATGTGGGGCTATGGGGCCAGAATTTGAAACCATCCTATCCCATGTACCATTATTCCAGTTCTAACATGGTGCTTTTGTGTTCAAACTAAAAGTGACAGGGATGAAAGAAGTAAAAAGTTAGTCGAGCAGCACTGTGTAGGGATAAAAAGAGATGGTCAGTGCATCTTGAGTCAGACAAACACTATAAATTGAAAGCGGAAAAGATAGATTAAGAGATGAGGTAGTAGGAGGCTGAGAGACAGTAAGTACAGTGGATAAGGTGCTTGCCTTGCGTACAACTGAGTCAGATTCAATCTCCAGTGCCCTGAGCACTGCCAGTAGTGATCCCTGAGCACCATAGGGTATGGCCAAAGAGGTAGAGAGAGAGATGTAGAATGATAGGACTTAAGGTCAAACGAAAAATGAAGACTCAGTAAACAGGAGACTAGAATAAGAATAGGTAAAGGATTATTTTAAAGCGTAATTAATATTTCTGAGAAGGCAGAAAATTTTAAAAGGAAGATTTTGGTATTTTTTTAGGACTATAGATTTTAGGTCACGGCAAAGCCTGGCATGCTACCGGTGCCATATTCAATATGCCAAAAACAGTAACAGTAATGGGTCTCATTCCTCTGACCCTGAAAGAGCCTCCAATACAGCAGCATTGGCAAAGACTAGGAAGGACAGGCTGCTAAAACCTCAGGACTGGGACAAATGGAGACGTTACAAGCACCCACTCGAGTCAATCAATGAACAATGGGATGACAGTAATACAGTGATACAGTGACAGATTTCAGGAGGCATTTTCCTAAGCTTATCCCAAGTTTTGCTCCATATAACTTCTCAAAATCATGACAATAAATAAAAGGTAGAATAAATAAATGATTAAAAAAGAAGTTTTACAAAATTCCCCCTAAAGATCTAAAAATATTTTATGGGGCCTTTAAGTGGAATATATACTTAAAATGTAAAAACTCAAATTATAAGACCTTAAAAGCGTAAGGCAATAAATCATAAACCATTATTATGACAAAAAATATTAAACATTCTTCTGGATGTTAAAAGAAGCTCTTTCTATAGAAATATGAAAAACAAATCCATTTTCCTAACCAAATCATAAGAACACACAATTACAATTCATTTTAATGATGAACAAGAAAACCTACCTTTAATGTTCCATCAGCTGAACAACTAGCCAAAAGTTTATTATCTGGTGAAAATCTGCAGTGATTAACAATATTTTTATGGCCAAACAAGGTATTTCGACATTCTTTTTGATTCAAATCCCAGAGCTATTTGAGAAGATAATAAGATAATTAAAAACCAGTACTGAACAGGGAAAGTTAAAAATCACATAAAGTTCAGCTTTCCCTCCTATTTAAGTTTTTTCCTTTTATAGAAAGATATTCAAGTCTGTAGCACAAAGGGGTGAAACACAAAGGTGGATGTGAATTAATAATGCAGTAACTTCTAGAGGCAATGTTTTAGGTGCTAGGTTGTACAATTCTAAAAACGGTGATTTTGAAGATTTCCCAATGCAAACTCTGAACTATTAACTGAATAAAACCTGTTGGCACTCTAAAAAATTACCCAAAAATACAAGAAGAGCAAAGTTAGGTTTTATAAATACGTATGATAAGAGATTAGAAGAGCAAGTTAAATAATATCTCTAAGGAAGCAATAAGCCAAATCCAGAATGTGGGTTATTCTACAGAAAAAAATGACTCAAGTCTCTAACAAATCAATGGTATCTTTGAAAGAGGGAGAGGAAAAAGAATTTTTAGGGAATAAAAGACATAAAACCAAAATCTACTTGAGCTTCATGTCTGATCCCAATAAAGTTATGCTTCATTGAAATAGATGTTTAAGACTAACTGGGGAAAGTGAAAAAAAATTAGTTTATTATGTTAGGTGTGATAAAAGAATGGTACTTGTGTTTAAAAACCTCAAGACTCACACTAAAGTATTTTGGCTGAAATAAATTAATATGAAATTTGCTGTAAAGTTTTGGAAACAGAAAAAAATTGGTCGGGGAGGGGAAATAAGATGTTTCTATTTATAGAAACATCTATAAATAAGATGTTTCTGCCAAAATGTTTATAATTATTGAAGCAAGGCAATGAAAAAAATACCATAGGGGTTCATACTGTACTCTCTCCCTTTTTCAATACTTTTTAATATTTTAAAATATAACTAAGATGAGGTCATAAATTAAAATGGATACAATCATTTGCAGTGATTTTTCACAACTACACCAAAGAATCGCCGTGGCGTATTCGATATGTCAAAAACAGTAACAAGTCTCACAATGGAGACGTTACTGGTGCCTGCTCAAGCAAATTGATGAACAACGGGAGGACTGTGCTGCAGTGCTACACCAAAGAAGAAATAATTTACACCCTCAACTAACCTCGGTAAAAAGTCTTTGGAAATGATTATGAAGTGAAATAAGTCCTGTTCTTTTAGTTTTTATTGTTTTAAGTGTGGGTGGAGGGAACCACACCCTACAGTGTTCAGGGATTACTTTACTCATGGCTCTGTGCTCAAGGATCATTCCTGGTGGTGCTCATGGGGAACACATGTGGTGCCAGGGACCAAACCAGGGCTTGAAGTGTTTTACTCAACCCTCCCCAAAATACAATGTGCCACTGCAAAGATGGTATGACATTGGTCCTTCACGCCCAACCGAGGCCATGAGTTGCCCCTCACGAGCGGCTCTCTGGCACGGCCATGGTACCAGACGCACAGAAACCAATCTTGTAATTATCCTGCTCTTGGCAGAAATCCCTCCAGACTTAGTTAATAAAGTATCAGAAATCCAAAATCGCACGGCCGTGACATCATATGGTTTTCACAACCAGCAATAGAAAACAAATTATTTCACAATGCCTTTTCAGCAGTTCTGATTGTTGGGGGGAAATTCCAAACAATAATGGTACATCTTTTGTCGAAATAATGAATGTATTCAAAGTAGAGAGAAAGTTAAGTAGAAATCATCTGCCTCACAGGCATCGGGAGGGGTGGAAGGGGGGTATATTTGGGTTCTCGGTGGTGAAAAATAATTACTGGTGAGGGGAGGAGTGTTTGATCATTGTATGATCGAGACTTAAACCTGAAAGCTTTGTAACCTTTCTCACGGTGATTCAATAAATAAATTTAAAAATAAAAGATGGTGTGACATTAAAAAGGCCAGGCACATGCAAAAAAACGTGAACTCAGACTACTTCCTAAGGTCGTGAACAAAAGTCAAATCAAAATGGATTAAAGACTTCACTATCAGACCTGAACTCCTAAGTTACAAAGAGGAAGCTAGAGGCGTCTTTAAGGATACAACAACATTGGCCAAGCAAGTGGAAGCAAAGATATATGGGACTACATTAATTTTTTAAACGAATATAAAAGTGGGGGGTGGGGAGAGAGTACAGCAAGTAGGATGCTTGCCTTGCATAGGGCCAACTCAAGTTTGATCCCTAATATACCATATGGTCCCCATGAGAAAATCAATAAGATAGTTCAATCTACCAAATTTATCCACATAGCTCTCTGTCCATACTTACTTTGAGGAGGTGATCACTCGATCCAGTGGCTAAGAGAAGGTGATGGCTACTACAGGTAAAGTGACAGCAATTGACTTGTTCTGTGTGCTCATCATAGGTATGTATTAGTTTTCCAGTCACTGAATTCCAAATCTAAAGAAAATAGAGAACATGAAATTTACAATGACCCATTGTTCTCAGAGGGGAAAAGCAAATGGAAACTCAGCTATGGATGCTTTCCATTCTGTCTGGCAGATCTTCCCATTAGACAAAACACTTACAAATAAGCCCCACCTTCCAAAAAAACTAAGTATTTTGCCAAGATATCTTTCAATTACTTGCAAATCTATACAACCATCTTTCTATAGAATATTTAGGATCTTATAAAAATATTACATTCTTTAAAAGTAAGGTTTCACATGGACCTAAAAATAACAGCAAGTATATAAAGAATGGTATAGGGAAAGGATATTCGTCGAATACACATCTGACAAGGGGTTGATATCCAGGATATACAAAACATACAAAATACTGGTTAAACTCCACAAGAAGAAAACATCCAACCCCATCCAAAAATGGGGCAATGAAATGAACAGAAACTTTCTCAAAGAAGAAATCCGAATGGCAAAAAAGCACATGAGAAAATGCTCTACATCATTAATCATCAGGGAGATGCAGATCAAAACCACAATGAGATATCATCTCACACCTCAGAGACTGGCCCACATTCAAAAGAACAAAAGCAACCGATGTTGGCGTGGATGTGGCGAGAAAGGGACACTCCTTCACTGTTGGTGGGAATGTCGACTGGTTCAGCCTTTCTGGAAAACAGTATGGACGATTCTCAAAAAATTAGAAATTGAGCTCTCATTTGACCTAGCAATACCACTCCTGGGAATATATCCCAGAGAGGCAAAAATGTATAGTCGAAGTGACATCTGCACTTGTTTGTTCATTGCAGCACTCTTTACAATAGCCAGAAACTGGAAGAAACCTGAATGCCCAAGAACAGATGACTGGTTAAAGAAACTTTGGTACATCTACACAATGGAGTACTATGTAGCTGTTAGAAAGGATGAGGTCATGAAATTTATATACAAGTGGTACAACATGGAAAGCATCATGCTAAGCGAAATGAGTCAGAAAGAGGGATAGACATAGAAAGATTGCATTCATCTGGGGGATATAAAGTAACAAAATATGAGATTAATACCCAAGAATAGCTGAGATCAGCACCAGGAGGATTACTCCATAGCTTAGTGGCCAGCCGGGCATTCTAGAGGAAAGGGTAGCTCAGATAGAGAAGGGAGCACCAAATAAAGGGTGTTTGGAGGATCCTCCCAGGAGGGGAGATGCATGTCGAAAGTAGACTATGGACTGAACATGTTTGCCACTCAATGCCTCTTTTGCAGACCACAACACCCAAAAGGAGAAAGAGAATACAGGGGACTGCCCTGCCACAGAGGCAGGGGGGATGGGGGGATGGGGGTGGGGGGATATTATCCATGGTGGTGGAAAATGGGCACTGGTGGAGGGATGGGTATCTGATCATTGTATAATCGAAACCCAAGCACAAAAATTGTAAATCTACAACTGTACCTCATGGTGTTTCACTAAAAAAAAAAATAGAAGAAAAAAAAAAGAATGGTATAACACCAGATCAGAAGAATTAAATCCAAGAACTGGGTCCGATATAATAGTAATGTATATCCTTGATCAAGTTCTTAGTTTACCTGTATCTGTTTTCTCCTTGGTAAAACTGAGATACTTATCTTAGCAATTCAAGGTATCAAAAGATAAGTGAAATAGTGTTGTGCTGATTAAATGGTATCGATAAATAATCACTTCTTCACTTAATCACTTAACTTCCCGTTAGTCGTCGATTTGCTCGAGCGGGTGCCAGTAACGTCTCCATTTGTCCCTGTCGCGTGCTAGTGTAGCCCAATGGCATCTGTTCGCTCTGGGAACATGAAGAGCCTCAAACCAATCGTTCATGATCTTCACTGGCAGACTTCCACTATTGACACTACCTCCACTACCCAGCCCTCGCCACACTCCAGGACGCTTTCTGGAACCGTGCGGCCGCAAAGCGGCCACACGACACATCATAAGACACTAAATACCCATCTTCCAGAATTGTCGTACCATATTTGATAGGGTTCAAATATGGTAACACCTACAAGGGTGATTAGAGGTTGCCCCAAAAGCCTCTATCCCTCTCGGAAAGACTGGAAAGCTACCGAGAGTATTCCGCCCGCATGGAAGAGCCTGGCAAGCTATCCGTTGTGTATTCGATATGCCAAAACCAGTAACTACAACTGGTCTCATTCACCTGACCCTGAAGGCTTCACCGACATGGCAGCACTGAGAAGGATGAGAAAGGAGAGGCTGACAAAATCTCAAGGCCAAACTAGGCTGCCACAACTAAGGAAGACAAAAATGATCGTCTGTACTTTCAATGCACGTACGCTAGCATCAGATGCATCCATCGAGGACCTGATGGTACAAGCGAGAATGATCAAGTACGACATCATTGGTCTGACCGAGACAAGAAGGCACGAATCTCACCATGCCATTTTCAACACTGGAGAAGAACTGTTCCTCGGAACATGCGATAAAAGAGGTGTCAGAGGCATCGGTGTCCTTGTCAACACAAACTTGGCCAAGAGCATTGATTCGATCGATCGATCATGAACGATCGATAAATAAAGACAAATAAAATGATTCAGTAAAGAAAATTCAGGCTTGAGATTGAAGAGATTGTATAGCAGGGAGGGTGCTTGCCTTGCATACAGTTTCAATTCCCAGCACCCCATATGGTCCCCAGAGCCCTACCAAGAATGATCTTTGAGTACAGAGCCAGGAATAAGCCCTCAGCACTGTGTGTGTGGCAAAAAAAAAAACAAAAAAACAGAAAAACAGAGGCTTGGGCCAGGAAGACAGTTCAAAGGTGAGATCTCTAGCACTCCATGTCCCTCACGTACCACCAGGAGTCACCCTTGAACACTAAGCAGGAGCAGTTCCCAGGCATTAGTGGGTGTGGTCCCCAAACCAAAATAAATAAAACAAATGAAATAAAGGCTTTACAAACTGATTTTTAAAAAAATAATTAACTATGAGGGTATGGTGCCACTAGCAAGTCAATCTGTACCTGTGAGGTGAGTGCATCAGCAGCCTGATGGCACCTTCAGACTTCCAGATACCCCAAAATTGCTGCTGTGCCTTTGACCAGACCCCAAAAACTTGGGGCAAAGTTTATCAAGAAAGTAAACGGCCAAAAGTTAGGTATTTGGAAAACACACCCACAAACCACCTCCAGCTCAGCTATAATTGGAGGCATGGCCTCTCTGGTTCCTGATCACACTGCCTAACAGCCATGATCCCAGAGACTCAGAAACAAATCTCAAAACCCAGCGGCTTTTGGCAGAAATGCATCCGGTCCCTGCAATATGTTACCAGTGCTAGGCCAACCTAGATGGGAATTGGTTTCGTGCCTTGGTTTGTTCCCCCTGGCAGCCCGGTGGCTGCCATCCTCCAGCGGCCACTGTACAGTCAGGTTTAGGCCTGTAGTGACGAGACACGCAGGGCCTCAAGGGATGAGGGTGGAGCCAGTCCTGTCCTCCCCGTCCCAATGAGATCCCAAGTCATCGCGCACGAACGGCCTCTCTGGCTCCTGATCAAGCTGCTTAACGGCCATGATCCCAGAGACTCAGAAACAAATCTCGAAACCTAGTGACTTTTGGCAGAAATGCGTCGGGACCCTGTAGTAGGTTACTGTTGCCGGGCCACCCCAGGGGGGAAAGGGTGCTGTCACTCCTCCTGCTCCCCCTTGGTGGCTCTGTGGCCGCCATCCTCCAGAGGCCATTGGACAGTCAGGTTTGGGCCCTCAGTGACGAGACATGTTGGGCCTCACGGAATGGGGGTGGAGCCAGTCCTTTCCTCACCACCCCAATGAGACCCCAAGTCATCACCCACGAATGGCCTCTCTGGCTCCTGATCAAGCTGCTTAACGGCCATGATCCAAGAGATTCAGAAACAAATCTCAAAACCCAGTGGCTTTTGGCAGAAATGCGTCTGGACGCCACAGTAGGTTACTGTCACCGGGCCACCCCAGGGGGGAAAGGGTATTGTCCCTCCGCCTGCTCCCCCTAGGCGGCTCAGTGGCCACCATCCTCCAGAGGCCACTGGACAGTCAGGTTTGGGCCCCCAGTGACGAGACACGCCGGGCCTCATGGAATGGGGGTGGAGCCACCCTTTCCTCCCCATCCCAATGAGACCCCAAGTCGCCGCCCATGAATGGCCTTTCTGGCTCCTGATCAAGCTGCTTAACGGCCATGATCCCAGAGACTCAGGAGCAAATCTCGAAACCCAGCAGGTTTTGGCAGAAATCCCTCCAGATTTAAGTGTTAAAATTTCGGAATTTCAAAATCGTGCAGCCACGCGACATCATATGTCATTCGTAACCAGCAATAGAAAACAAATTGTCTACAGTTGCCTTTTCAGCAGATCTGAGTGTTGGGGTAAAATCTCAAATAATAATGGTGGGTCTGGTGTCAAGATATTGAATGTGATCAAAGTAGAGAGAGAGTAATGTGGAAATCATCTGCCTCACAGGTAGGGGGAGGGTATGGGATGGGGGTATACTGAGGTTGTTGGGGGTGGAGAATGGGCACTGGTGAAGGTACGGGTGTTTCATTGTATGACCAAGACTTATACCCAAAAGCTCTGTAACTGCTCTCATGATGATTTAATAAATAAAATTATAAAAAATGAAAAAGAAAAATAAGGTGGAGTTCATGCCCAATTCAATCAGCTAATCAGTGGCTGAATAAATAGCAGTACTCCTACAAATAAATAAATAAATAAATACTAGATTTGATTGCTGGAGGAAAAAAGGGAGCAAAGTGGAGGTACAGAGGGGCTTTTTTAATAGAGGGATGACTGGAAGTTCAGTGGTAGGAAGGAAGAATCTTTTACACACAGAGTACAGTACATTAAGTTCAGAGCTCTATCCCTGAGATTCTATTTGTTAAGTAATGATAATTCAAATTCATGTATGTCTTAGATTGATGGAAAACTACCTTACAATCTGGCTCTATTTTATTAATTAAAATGAGCCTGAAGAAAAAAACTCTCCAGGAACCTGTTTCATTATCTGTAAAATAAGATCAATCATTAAATTAGTGGTATAAAGCTTCATAGAGTATTAAGTTCACCCAGTAAAAGTAATCATGAGCCTTGTTACAACGTAATCTATTCCATTTACCAAAAAAATAAAAAAAAGAAATTAACTAATGAAACTTCATTGACACTGAAAAACTTTAAAAAGAGAGACAGAGACACAGAGACAGAGAAAAAATAAAGCCTCAATGTAAGTTCACCCTTTATTTATCAGAAAATGTATTTCCACAGATTCCAGTTCTCTTAAAGTCTGTACTAAAATAAAGGCTCTGGGGACCAGGGAGATAATACAGGGGTTAAAGCATTTGCCTTGCGTGCACCTGACCCTGGTTCAAAACCTCAGCACTATATACAGTCCCCCATGCACTGCCAGTTGTGGCTCCTAGGCACAGAGTCAACTATAGCCCCTGAGCTCTGCCAGGTGTGGCCCAAAAACCAAAAACAGAGCAATAAAAATAAAATAAATTCTTTGGCTAAAAGGCAAATTTAAAAACAAGAGACAAAGTGACAAAAACTACATAAAATGGCCAATAAGCATTTGTAAACTTATCGATATTCTCTTTTCATTAAGGAAATGCAAATCAAAACAAGGAGACATCACTGACACACCTGAGAAAATGGTGATTATCCAGAAGACCAAAAATATAAACATTGGAGGGAATACAGAGAAGAGGAAAATTTAAAAGAGGCTGGTAAGAATGTAAGCAGATGTGGCTATGGATATTCCTTAATCTATACAGTCCAGTTATCTGTGTATTTACTTACAAAGTACAAAAACACTAACTTGAGCCCTGAAGAGACAATGCATTGCCTTGCATGTATTATAATCCCAGTTAGACTCCCAGCACCACATATGGTCCCCTGAACACCACCTGGAGTCACTCCTGAGCACAGAGCCAGGAATAACCCCTTTTGAACCCTGGAGTGTGGTTCAAAATAAAAAAAAAATAACTTCAATTTGAAAAGATGTATGTATACACATGTTTACTGCGGCATTATTTAAAAGCCAAGAATTAAAAACAACCTAAAAAATACATCGACTGGGGCTGGAGCGATAGCACAGTGGATAGGGCGTTTGCCTTGCACGCAGCCAACATGGCCGACACAGGTTCGATTCCCAGCATCCTATATGGTCTGCCAAGCACCGCGAGGAGCAATTCCTGAGTGCATGAGCCAGGAGTAACCTCTGAGCATTGCCGGGTGTGACCCAAAAAGGAAAAAAAAATACATCGACTAATAAATGGACAAACATGTAGTGCCTATACACAGTAGCATACTGTTCACCACAGAGAAGAAATCCTTTCGTGCCATTTACAAAGCCATGGATGGACCGAGAGTACTACTGTAGGTCAGGTAAGCCAGACACAAAAGAATAAATACCAAATAATTTAACTTAAATGCGATATATAGAGGGTGAAAATATGAACTAAATAAAGTAATAATAAATGTTTGGACTATGCGACCAATTAGTGATAACTCGAAGAGCAGGAATAAGGCAGAGGGTCTGGAGCTGTTTTGAGAAAGAATATAAATCAGGACCAAAAGGGACACGTAAATTGATCTTTTAAAATATATTGTCTTTGGATCTTGCCAGCAGAGAAACGGCCCAGAGTCACATCTCCAAAATAACACGATGCCATGGAATCTTCCCAGGTAAAATGGTCCGGGCTGACAGCTTCGGGACTTTCTCAAAATGGGGGTGAGCAGATTCCCCATTCTACCTGAAAGCATAGCTGTCTCCAGCCATACCTGACACGCTCAAACGTAGAAATGCCCCAGCTCCACAACTGAACCTCATCAAACTGCCAAGACACCCAACAATCTGAACATAGATTGTTCCAGATCTATGGCTCCTTGAACCTCAAATTTTCATAGTCCTGTCAGCCCTGTACAATCACAGTAAATCTCTTAGGAAAGCTGCATGGAAGTCCACCAAGCTCAATGGGCCTAAACAATAACACAGAAGGCTCAACTAGTACCATCCAGCAGAGCAGATCCTTGGACAATGATTTCAGTAACATCACTGAGATATAACAATTATCACTAATTGGCTACTATTGATCTAAGGTTTGAAAATTCCATTTGCCTTTGTGTTGTAACAAAAGAAATGAAATAAATTTATTTGTGCCTGCAAGGAGGTAGGCTGGGGTGGTAAGTGGGAAACTGAGGACACTGGTGGAGGAAAGGGTACATTGGGGGTTGGATTGGTGGTGGGACATTTAATGCCTATATTATATTATGAACAACTATACTATGAACAACTTAGTAAATCATGGTGCTATAGTGAAAGAAAGAAATTAATATAGTTATTGAAGCAACATGGTTAAAGTATTAATGCTAATGATTTTGGTTACAAAGTTATTACATTTTCACATATAGATTTAAATTATGTATATCTTACATTTGAAACCTATCATAATGTAATGATAGCTTAATTTAAAAAAATTTTTTTCCTTTATTTTTCAGACTAATCACCTGTGAGCTTGTTCTTCCATCTGGTTTTGCATTAAATAAAAGCCAATTCATAAAGGCAAAAATATCTAAGCAGCATGTTACAAATTATTTTACAACACAAACTAGATCTCAGAGAATGAGTTTGTGCACCACCATTCCCAATCACAATACACTCAAAAATTTCAGCTGTTATTTAACCCATAATCTTGCAATAAGTCGCATTAATTTGTTCCTATTTTTCCCAGGTGTCTGGCAAATATCTCCAAGTGATCAATATATGCATTCGAATTGATACTTAACCCTGGATAAAAACTGGTATGGCTCAAATTAACATCCTAAGAGGCAAAAGTGCTCATCCTACAATTAAGGAAAAAGAAAATTTTTGTAATAATTACAACTCAAAAATATACTATTTCCCTACCTTTACTGTTTTATCCACAGAGCAAGTTGCTATAAACCTATCACAAGCGGAGAATGCACAGCAAAGTATTTCGTCTTCATGAGCCTTGATTTCTAAGAGCTTCTCTCCTGTTTCAGCTTTGAACACCTACAAATGCAACAATACATAAAATATTTTTACAATAAGCCACTTAGCAACCTTGGGCTACTAGCCAATAAAAATATTTCTTTATAACATCTTAATCATGTTTAAACTTTGCCGAACAAATGAACCTTGCCAAAATGATTTTAAAAATCAAAATTTTGGTCAGAATTTGCTCTAACATAGAGAACTATCCATTGCTAAATGTCTATACATAACAACTTTAAAAACTGACTGAGTATAGCAGCTTCATTTATGGAAAACAGCTTGGCAAATTCTATACGTGTATGTAATATAAAGGGGAGTGTATGTGTGCTGTCTGTCTGTGTCACGTGCATGCTTAAACAGAGTGTGTGCTGTTGCTAGGACTGAATGTGTGTGAGTGTGTGAGTGTGAGTGTGTGTGTGTGTGTGTGTGTGTGTGTGTGTGTGTGTGTGTGTTCTGCTGGATTGAGTGAGGCAAATTCTTTTATTTTCCTCTTCTTCTTCTTCTTTTTTGCTTTTTGGATCACACCCAGCAATGCTCAGGGGTTACTCCTGGCTCTGCATTCAGGTATTAATCCTGGTGGTGCTTGGGGGACTATATGGGATGCCGGGGATTGAACCCAGGTTGGCCGTGTGCAAGGTAAAATGCCTTACCCGCTATGCTATCACTCCGGTCTACATTAGGCAAATCTTAACAAACCAAATACTTTAATACGCTTTCTGAGGCTGAAAAATCAGAATTAATAAAATCAGTCACAACAATCACCAACAGAAATTAAGTATGTGGTCATAATCTTGTGAGGACTAAAGCTATATTTGTTTAATGTAGGAGTACTGCTATTTATTCAGCCATTGATTAAACTGGTTGAATTGGGCATAAACTCCACATTACTCTTTTCAATTTTTTAATTGGGTATCTGTGAGACAGACCATTACAAGCTGTTCAAAATTGGGTTTCAGGCATACAATGATCCAGTACCCATCCCTCCACCAGTGTACATTTCCCACGCCAATGTCCCCCCATTTCCCCACCACCATTCCCCAACCTCTCAACCCCTACCCCCAGCCTCCCTCTATGGGAGGCACTTTCCTTCTTTCTCTCTCTCTCCTTTTCCTTTTATGCATTATGGTTTGCAATACAGGTTAAAGCTATTTTAAATATAAAGGCTTTACCTAATGTGATCCTGTTTCATTTAAAATCAAAAGGTAAAGCAAAAACATGAAAATAAAAAAGTAAATTCTTTCAAGCACTTTAAGAAATAGTCTAGTCCAATTCCTATTTTTATTCAGATATTTATGCCTGTGTCTCTGATTAAATGTTGCTTAATCACTGTTTTCTAGCCTAACTCCTGTTCCTATGAAGAAGAGCTATGAAATCCTTATCATTTTAAACTATCATTTTCTCATCAACCTTAGTGAGTACACGAATGACAGTGACTGGCAAGGTAAAAGGCTCTTCCACATCACTCAGCAAGTTTAGAATGATGAAATACGCAACTATATCTTTTAAATCTCTAATTTGATTCCTGATGTTGCTAACATGCAATGTTGGTGCTAAGCCAGGACATTAGGAAGAGCCTCTGGACGTTGCCCTGCAAACAGGAAGCAGAACCAAGGCTCCACTTTTACATTAAGTGGGCAAGCTAAAACTTGTGAGTCCAATGATCTGGAGAAGCACAGCATGCTCTCATATACCCACCTGGTCATACCTTATCTTGGCAGTACAAGGCAGCAGTTTCCCCTCTCTTACACATCCTTAGTATCTGGGTTGACCTTCAAGTATCAGTATCAAGTATCAAGGATCTCTTTGCCCTATGTGTAACCAAATGTGGGGGACTTGCTCTGTAGAGCCTACATATCCAGCTCCATATCTTCCTCTCATGTTTTAATCATTACAGCATAGCTTCGATAACATAGCTTTGACAAGAACAATGTATACCCTGATGTTCTTTTGATGAATGCTTACCCTATAACTGTTGGTACTCTCATTAGTGATTCTTTCTCTGTGACATAGTCACTGTGATGTAGCTGATAAAAAATAAAATAAAATAAAAGGACACCTCTGGCAGTTGCTCTGTCTCGAGCCAGATCAATGCCTTGGCCCTTGGTGCTCTCTACATTCCTCTCACGTGTCTTGTCTCTGCACCTCCAACCGGAAGAACATTTATGCAACATGCAATATTCTTTATTTTATTATTTAAGTATATTTCAATATGCACACTATTGGTCACATGCCCAAAAAATGTTCTGAGAAAGTATGCTTTACCTGTAAGGTTTTATCAGCTCCACAAGAAGCTATTCTTTGGCCATCCTCAGAAAAGCAAGCATGGTAAACAGCATCTGTATGGGGGCGGACAACTAAGCGAGAGAGATTCTTGATGGTTTTTTTGTTTCTGTTTACAAGAAAAAAAGTAATAGAAACCCAATAAATAAGAATCAAAGTGATTATTTTTCCACAATAAGTACAGTGTCCCCTGTCGCGTATCACAAATGTCACTTGGCTTGGATTTCTAGTTTATCAAAACATGTCACTTTTTATTTTCTTTTGCTCCATTAAAACTAGCACAGGAATGCCCTCTAAAAATCTGTCTTTTGAAAGGAAAGAAGAAGAAAGCAAATGTTATTCCTGAACTAAAGTATTGGTTTATATAAACTACCCCCACTATTACTCTGGTGTATTTTAATTACAAGATTTCTAAAGGGAAAACAAATTTTTCAAGTCATTTTCACTGGGTTGTTTCTTGAGGGTTGGTTTGTTTTTTTTTTTGGGGGGGGGGTTTGGTTTTCAGGGAAACACCCAGTACTGTTCAGAGTTTAGTCCTGAGGGATCAAATCAGAATCAGCCACATGCATGACAAACACTTTAACTCTTGTACTCTCTCCAGCCCCTCTTTGCGTATTTGTCTAGTAAATACCAACTATTCCACCAGAGCAGATATAATTCCTCATGGGTTAAAGAATAAATGAATATTATGTATACTTACAGCAGCAGAAGTAGAACAGTGTTAGTTCACATATATGTGACCACAGAAATAGCTCAAAGGGCTGGAGTGCATGCTTTGTATAGTGCACCCTTAGGTTAACCCCCAGCACTGCATGGTCCCCTGATCATCACCAGATATAACACTGAAAGAAACTGAGCATGGTCAGAATGGCCCTCATGGGCCCAGTCATTAGAGGGCCTAAAAAAGCTCAAAATCTCCAGGCCCAAGCATTGAGCTGCCTGACTCCAGTTGCCTACATATCACCAAGAGAGGCTCCCAAGTGTCTGGCCCCTCCAACTCTCAAAAAAAAAAAAAAAGAGTACAGAAAATAAGGCTGGATAGACCCAGAGTTTAAATCCCATTTTTGCAAACTATCTGAGCTTAGTAAAGTCTCAACCTCTCTATGGCACAATTTTCTTGTTTTACTGTAAAAGAGGGTAAACAACAAAGCTATTCTGAAAATAAATAACACACGTGAGCACAAAATATATAATACACATTAAAATGATGGTGGTACACTCTTTTCCTTTCACTGACTGATAAGATTAAGGTAAGAGAAAAACTAGTCTCTTACAGGGGCTGGAGCGATAGCACAGCAGATAGGGCATTTGCCTTGCATGTGGCCAACCCAGGTTCGATTCCCAGCATCCCATATGGTCCCCCGAGCACTGCCAGGAGTAACTCCTGAGGGCAGAGCCAGGAGTAACCCCTGTGCATCGCCAGGTGTGACCCATAAAAAGCAAAAAAAAAAAAAAAAAACTAGTCTCTTACAGAAATAAGAGAATCAAGTTTCAATTCTAAAATTTAACATATGTAATGTTAAATTTCATATGTAATGTTCAAAAGCAAAGTGATCGGGGGCTGGAGCGATAGTACAGCAGGGAAGGCGTTTGCCTTGCAAGTGGCCCAGGTTCAATTCCCAGCATCCCATAGGGTCCCCCAAGCTCTACCAGGAGTAATTCCCGAGTGCAGAGCCAGGAGTAACCCCTGAGCATCACTGGGTATGACCCAAAAAGAAAAAAAAAGCAAAATGATCAAGACCTAATCCAATATCTCATTTAAATATTCACAAAAATAGCACTTGTCACAAAGGATTGATAGTTTACATTTGAGAAAGAAATGTAATTTCTAACACATTTAAAACTGCAATATTATTAAGTTTTAAAACTGAGACTCAAATCTAGGTTTGTGGCTTGAAGTCAATGTTTTCAACTAACATATTTTACATTTGTTATCAATTTCTTATTAATGCTTAGGATGAACTGTCAAGATATCATGTAAGCCAACATCTATTCCTATAGGACCTTTGAAGATAATTCTATTTCTATTTGCTGCTGACTTCTCTAAAACTTTTCAGTTGGTAAGAATGTCTTTAAAAGTTCCATCCCTCAGCAAAGTAGTTAAATTTTCCTGGAGTGAACTTATTCACTATCTGAAAAATAATGATATAGTTAGCACTCCACCTCCTTCAACTCCTCCCCTAACCTACTTACATCCACTCCAGGTAGAGCATTCCATTATCGACCTCCTGCTTGGCCCGCAGCTTAGCCTGCTGATAAACCTCTGAAATTTCAGGTTCACAGAGACCCAGCTGTATAACATTAGGAAATGGCTGTCGTCCAAGAAGGTGTCCATTTAAAGATAAAAACTCCTGGAAATTCTCACAGACAGCAAAATCCTGTGAACAAACTAAAATCCATTAGAAACATAACCGAAGCCAAGATCTGACACTTTGTGGTATCTGTCATCTTCTCATATTAAAGGTTTAAATGAGATACTCTCTACATGAACTGAAATACTAACCATTAGGTAACAACTACATAGTGACACTCCTCAGACTTTTATACATAAAAAAATCATTGAAGTGTAAAAATATCATGATCAAAGTTCTACTTTAAGATATTCTTTTTAAAAGGGAATCATTGAGTATTTCATCAACTTTCAAACTTCAATTTTATCCACTTTACTAGCAGACAATGAAACAAAATTTAAATAGACAAATATCAAAATAAGGAGATGATCTCAATTTGCCATTTCTATTCTGTGCATCCCCATTATTAAACCTAGAATCAAATGTTTAAGATGTCCATTATGACTAATTCAAATTCATATGTACCTTTTCATCCAATATATGCCTGTATTCCACAAATTCATGAATCAGATGAGCAGGACCTACAAGTTCCGTTTTGGCTTTAATCCAATCCAGAGAAAACATTAAAGTGCAAAGTTCCTTTAAAAAAAAAAAAAAGACAGGGAAGGCAGAAGCACTGTTAGAGCAAAGTCTCTAATCATCTTCCTAATAGCACTAAGAGAAACACCAGGTATCTAGAATTTAATGCAAAGAAAGCTACTGAAATGAAGCACATTATCAAAAGTTGGAGAAACACCAACTCAACCTCATACTTTAATTCAAGATAAATTTCAGAACAGGGAGATAGTACAGGGTTTTGGTAGGGCACAAGCCATCTATGTATGCAATGCTGGTTTGATCCCACCATATACAAGCCCCAAGCATTGCTGAGTGTACCCCTTGAGGTCCCACATCCTGCTGGGTGTGGTCCTGGTCTGGAACCATAGTGCCCGAGTCGAACTGCATCCTGAGGCCCGAGTATTCTACCATTCAGCCAGTTGGCTGAGAATAGAGAGTCAGGAGTGGCCCCAGGACCGCTCAGCATCACTTGGGAGGCCCTCTCCCAAATCATGAAAATTTCAACTAGATTGAAGAAAACATTTTTAAAAGAAAACTCCAGACACAGTTGGAAGGGATGGGGTGCATGTCTAGCATGTGTGAGGCCCCCAGGTTTGATTCCTAGCACTACATGGTGTCCACAAGCATTTACCACCACCCTAGTGAACTCCAGTCCCACCAGTCCCAAGCAGCACTCACTGCTGACCTAGAGCCCTGAATCATCAGACCCAGCCTAATGGACTGAGTATCTCTGGGAATAGCCCCAAGACCTCTGGCCAAAGAGGACAATAATCATGCACTGAAACCTATAAAAACTCAAATTCTCCAGGTTCAGAAGACAGTTTAAAAGTAGAGTACATGCCTGGAACATACATAGCTCTTGGCTCAATCCCCAGAACCCAATACCCTTCCAGCATCTACTAATATAGACTTGATGGGCCAGGAGTTCTGTCATCTATGCCCTCAGTCCATCCCAGGTTTCACTTCTTGAGCTCTGCTGTATATATTTTTTCTGTTATATTGAAGTTTTGAATGTTTTTGGATGGGGGCCGCCCCAGAAATGCCTAGGTTGTGGAGAAGGATGTTAAAAATAAAGATAATAATTAGCATGATGGGGATACAAAATTTTGCATCACTTTTTTCCTTTTCTCATTTTTTGGGGGCAGTGCCAGGGATTGAACCAGGGCCTTATGCATATGAGGATGAGTTCCACCACTGAGCCACATGCCCATTATTTTCTACTTTTATAAGTCAATTAAACAAAGATTAAAAACTTTTAAAGACAACCAGATCAGAAAAACAACATGCATTTATAAAACATTTTATAGAGAACTTAATGGGCTGGAGCGATAGCACAGCGGTAGGGCGTTTGCCTTGCATGCAGCCAACATGGCCGACCCGAGTTCGATTCCTCCGCCCCTCTCGGAGAGCCCGGCAAGCTACCGAGAGTATCTCGCCCGCACGGCAGAGCCTGGCAAGCTCCCCGTGACGTATTCAATATGCCAAACACAGTAACAACAAAGTCTCCAATGGAGACGTTACTGGGCCCGCTCAAGCAAATCAATGATCAACGGGAGGGCCCATCTTGCCCCCCCATCAATAATCTTTATATAAAATTATAATAAACAGTAAAAAAATACTCAATAGAAAAAGGTTAAAGTAATGAAGAAACACTCAAAAGAAAAAGATCAAGGTAATGAAGAATCTATTCATAAATAAAAGTACAAATGACCAAACACCTGACAAGTTCGCCATAATCAATGTGAAATGAAGTTTTATGACTTTTTTAAATACAAATACAACATTGTATTTGATATCTCAGCATAGCAAAAAAAAAAAAGTAAGCTCTCTCTATGTCCCTATGATCCCATCTTGGGATTAAAGAGCAATATATATGAGCAACAAAATAAAAATGATACAGAAAACTAAAGCCAAAAATACAGGCAATAATTCTGATCTTCACTGTTTTCTTTTAGTTTATTCCTAAATTTTTTTTTAATAAAAATGAATCATTACCTTAAATTTAAAAAAATAAGGATTTTTTTAAAAAGTGAATCCTGGGGCTGGAACAATGGCACAGCGGGTAGGGCATTTGCCTTGCACGCGGCCAACCCGGGTTCAATTCCGAGCATCCCATACTGTCCCCCAAGCACCGCCCGGAGTAATTCCTGAGCGCAGAGCCTGGAGTAACACCCGAGCATCACCTGGTGTGACCCAAAAAGAAAGAAAAAAAAAGTGAATCCTGCCACAATCATACCTATCAAAAAATGTTTATTTTTGGTTTCGGGGGCCTATCAGGATGGTGCTCAGGGGTTACTCCTGGAACAGTGCTCATGGTTCACTCTGGGCGGTGCTTAGCCAACCGTGGGGCACTGGGCTCAAATCTGGCTTCTAACATGCAAAGTGTGTGCTCCAGTCTCTTAGAGCACATCTCCCCAGCTCAGTATCAGGTCTGGGGTTGCTTGATTCAGGGGCCATATTCTGCAGTGCTCAGGGGCTATGCCTGTTCTGTGCTCAAGAGTGATCCCTGGTGGTGTATGGTGATCCCTGGTGGTGTATATAATGTGCTGAATTTTCAAATGAGGGTTGGAGGGATGCAAGGCAAGAACCTTAACTTCTGTAATATCTCTCTGACCCACAAATACAAACCCAAAGGGCTTACTTATTTATTTCAGCCACACCCAGATGTGCCAGAGCTTGCTCCTGGCTCTGTGCTAAGGGGTCACTCCTGTGGCAACAGGGGGCCATATAATGCAGTGCCAGGGATCAAACAGCGGTCAGCCACATGCAAGGCAAGCACCTTACCCCTGTACAATCTCTCTAACCTCAATTTTGTTTTAAAAATTATGGCCCCAGTAATAACATTTCTAGGAATTTTCAAAGGAAATAATATAGGTACAACAATAAACAAGAATATTTATTATATCATCAAAAGGGAAAAACTGGGGGCTGGAGCAATAACACAGCGGGTAGGGCGTTTGCCTTGCACGCAGCCGACCTAGGTTCGATTTTCAGCATCCCATATGGTCCCCCGAGCACCGCCAGGAGTAATTCCTGAGTGCATGAACCAGAAGTAACTCCTGTGCATCGCCTGGTGTGACCCAAAAAGAAAAAAAAAAAGGGAAAAGCTGAAAACCAACACAACATTCAAACAATAAAAATTCATACAACTTGGGACTGGAGTGATAGCAGAGCGGGTAAAGCGTTTGCCTTGCATGTGGCCGACCCGGGTTCGATTCCCAGCATCCCATATGGTCCCCTGAGCACGGCCAGGAGTAATTCCTGAGTGCATGAACCAGGAGTAACCCCTGTGCATCGCTGGATGTGAACCAAAAAAACAAAAACAAAAAAATTCATACAACTAGAACAATTTTTTTTTTAATTTTTGGGTCACACCCGGCAATGCACAGGGGTTACTCCTCGCTCTGCACTCAGGAGTCACCCCTAGTGGTGCTCAGGGGACCATATGGAATACTGGAAATCGAACCCGGGGTGGCCGTGTGCAAGGCAGATGCCCTACCCACTGTGCTATCTCTCCAGCCCCTAGAACAATGATTTTTATTGGAATACCTTCCTTCCAGTACAGATTATTATATACAAAATACATTGTGCTAGGTTTCTGTCTTCGCATGTATAGCTATATCATCTCTATATCCAAAACATAAAATAACTGAGAATAGAAAACTACCAAAAGCATATACAATTTTCTGAAATGTAAACATTGGGAATAGTTAGCTAGTAATCAGAACTTCAAATCTCTCTATATTCTGATTCCCAAATTTGAATGCTAGTCACTAACTTTTGCCAGAAAATTTCCTATCTATCTGCTTATTCAGTATTTTCCATCAAGTATCTTCATATTCTCACAAGACAACATAATCAAAAGAAGTTCCTACACTCCCATTCTATTTCTGAAAAAACACTTGTTTTGTCCAAAGATGTCTCTAATTTAGCTCTAAACAACTCCATTCTTTCTATTTAACAAGTCTGGAGTCATCTTTGACTTCTCTTTCTCTCTATAGTTAGGTCAAAAACTAAAACTCTCAAAATAAAGCCTACATAAGTCTGGCTGAAAAAAGTTATATCATATTCAGAAGCAAATTATGCTACCCCTTTATCATCACTCTCTTTCTCTTTCTATGCTTCATTTCCTCTGAGCACTTACCCTCTGATATAATTTAAAACCTATCCATTGTAATTCCCTCATCTAACAAAAATTCTTAAGAAGCAGTTTATGCATGTGTAAGCCCACATAAAGAAGAATTGTATTACTATGTAACAGGCAATCAGTAAATATTTATTAAATAGATAAAAAATATTTTTCTTCTCAAAGCCTAAAAATAAATCCTAGCCTCTCATAAAGAAAAGCTACTGGTAAGAAGAAAGTGAATATTTTTTGGCTTTTTGGGGGGTCATACCCAGTGATGCTAAGGGGTTACTCCTGGCTCTAAACTCAGGAGTTACTCCTGGCAGTGCTCGGGGGACTATATGGGATGCCAGGGATTGAAACCAGGTTGGTCGCGTGCAAAGCAAATAACCTACCCACTGTACTATCACTCTAGCCCCAAAAGTGAATTTTTAAACAGTTCATTTTCTAATTACTAAGGTACAATTATAAATCACTGTAGGTTTAAAATACCTAGATAGGTTGCAAACTTTATTACTCATAAAAGAAACTTTCTGTCATAAGATGAAAGTGAGCAAAAAGAAAATTTTTTAAACAGGTATCTTACTTTGTGCATTTTGGCACTGGCCATATGATAGGCCAAAAAATTATACCAGTACATACAGTCCTCCTCATCTGGTGAAAGAGTATATAACTGATGATATCTCTGGAATTGGGTGATTATCTTCTTATGTAGGTCCTGAAATGCAAATGAAACACTTCAGAGAATAGATACAACTTCATGACCTAAGAATTACATAACTCTAGTTTCCAAAACTTTAGAACAAGAATGTACAGATCGCTCCACAAGATACTTATTAATTTAAAAAGAAAAAATTCTAACATGATAGTGGGAAGTGGCAGATATCACTTTAAACAAGGTATCAGTTTGCCATGCACGCAACCGATCTGACTTCAATCTCCCAGAACCCTGTATGGTTCCCCAAGCCCTCTAAGGAATGATATCTGAGCACAGAGCCAAGAGTCAGCCCTGAACACCACTGGGAGTGCACCCAAAATCACAACAAAAAAGTGATAGTGATCACTGTTGATTTCACTCATATTAAGTAATCAATACACTGACATGACACACTATAAACACATCATTTCTATGGTATTATGCTAAAAATATACAGCCTTGATCTAGTCCATAAAAAGCCAGGGATATAGTTCTGGCGGTTAAAGACATTCCTAGCCTTTGCAAGGCCTAGAGTTTTGATCCTGGGTGCAGTATGCAAGACCCACCAAGCCTGAACTATCATGCCCAATTCACTGCACCAAGCATCACTGGGAGTGACCCTGCCTCCACCCACACCCATATAAGCACTGCTCAGAGTGGCCCATATGAAAAAAAGTGACTCTAAGATAGAAAGCTGTACAATTTTCAAATATGTGAAGAAATGAGAGAAACATGATACTCATTTTATGCTGTATGATAAAATGCAATACAAGATCAAGAATTGGAACTGGACCACAAAAAAAAAGGAGGGAGACATTAGTGAGTATGGTTAAGAAATAAATGCAAATAAAATATGGGCTGGGGACTGGAGTGACAGCACAGCGGGTAGGGCATTTGCCTTGCACGTGACCAACCCGGGATCAATTCCCAGTATCCCATATGGTCCCCTGAGCACCACAGGAGTAATTCCTGAGTGCAGAGCCAGGAGTAACCCCTGTGCGTTGCTAGGTGTGACCCAAGAAGCAACAACAACAAAAAAAGAGTATGTGGGCTGATTGATGTATCAGTGTTAATTTTCAGTTTCTGATAACTATTATAGTTGTATAAGACATTAACATGTGGGGAAGATAGGCAAAGGGTGTATGTGCAGAAACTATGTACTGCGTGACAACTTCTCTGAAGATGAAATATCTTTCCAAGTAAAAGTTAAAGAAAAAAAAAATACATATGCAGACATGAAATACCTGCAACTGGCTGCGATTCTTCTCTGTAAGGAAATCTACTTGAAGATCATGTAAATAGTAATGAAATGACTTTCCATTCCGATCACAGAATAAAAGCGACTTATTAACAAACTCCTGCAGAATGTCTTCAACTTCTTCAGTTTCCATGTCCCAGAGAATACATAACACCTAGGAATCATTTTAAGCTTAAAATGTGCCATTAAAAAAATACCACCAAGAAAAAAAAATACCACCAAGACTGCTGAAAGGTTTTAAGACCCCAGGAGTTTCTATCTGAAAACCCATAAGGTCTCCATTTAGAGCCCAACAATTACTCAAGACAGAAAAGAGAAAGAAGTCATACTCTCCTCCAGCTTCACTACAATCGCTGTAAAGTAAGATAATCATCTAAATTCTACAGAAAGTTCTTGATGGAGGCTAAGAACAGTGAACTTCTATATCTCCTACTATATCACTCGGTCACTTTCTATCCCTCCAATTTCCTCTGTAACAATATACTCAGTATTATACAAAAGATTCCATGCTGTAAATAGCCAAGGACAAAAATTGGTGGTTCTTCTATTACCTTTGTAGGCACCTTGACATCCTTCTGAAGAATAGAAAGATCGGTATAATAATCTTTGATATCTTCTCTAAGCATTTCTACACTTATAGACATGGCTTCGTCCAAAGCCTCATAATCATAAGATGAAGATTTCCTTATTCTTTTAAACTGCTTGTTCTGAAGTTGTCTGAGGTAGTATTCCCAGCGATTGGGAAAGTCACGTAAAAGAGCACCGATTAAAGATACTACAAGAGGAGAACCTAAAAAAAATTTCAAATGAAATAAAATAGATGTTAATACTATCTCATTTTTAAATGACTTGTAATTTGAGAATCCCTTTATTTCTGCTGCATTTTTATCCAAAGCCTTAAAGATGTTTGTAGCACCTTGGTTTATTTTTTCCCATAGTTTTACTGAGTTAGGATATATAGCATAACAACTTCCATAAAGGTCAAATTACTTAAGCTCACTTCAGGTATGTTATTCTAAGGAAATCTGTCTGCAGCACTGTCCTCCCGTTATTCATCGATTTGCTCAAGCGGGCCCAGTAACGTCTCCATTTTGAGACTTGTTGTTACTGTGTTTGGCATACTGAATACATCACGGGTAGCTTGCCAGGCTTTGCCATGCGGGCGAAATAAAAAATATTTCATGACACTGGTGGAGGGATGGGTGTTGGAACACTGTATGAATAAAACCAGATCATCAACAGCTTTGTAATGTTCTATCTCACAGTGATTTAATTAAAATAAAAAACTTCTTTCATATGTTTCATGGGGTCAGGGAGACAGCTTAACTGAGAGAGCTTAACAGATATAGTAAAAGAACAACCCCAGGGACCAGAGAGATAACTCGAGGAACTGAGCATAAGCTCTCCAAGCAGGAAGTTTGGTCAATCCCCAGACCAGATGGTGCCCTGATCACCATAGGGGGTAACCACTTAGCAAAGAGCCAGAAATAGTCCCTGAATACTTCTCGGTGTAGCCCCAAAGAAAAACTAAAGCACAAATCTAGCATGTGAAAAACCCTGACCCCTGGTACATAGCCCTGAGTACCATCAGGCATAGTCCTGGATGCTCCAAGCAACCGAGGGTGCAATGCTGATGGACCCAGCATCCCAGGTACAGCCCAGTGACCCTGAGCACTTGGAATTCATGCCAGAATCACCTCTGCCTGGAGTGGTCCCAGATCTCAAGCACTACCCGTGTGCCTTCTACCTTAAAAGAAAGAAAGAAGAAGATATAAACTTTCTTTCTCTTATACAGGAGTTAAGGATCTTGTCTTATACCCAGCAGGACTGGGTCTGACTCCCAGCACCACCAACAAGGGGGTCACTCTTGAACACAGAACCAGGAACAATCCTTGAGTATGGCTGGGTGTGGCCCAACCCACTTCCCCCAGCCCCACAAGAAAAGAAACATTTTCTGTGATGAAAAGTATAGCCCAAGGATGCACATATCTAGTACGTGCATGACCCGGCCTTCAATTCTGGCCCCTGAAGGATTTAGCATGGCCCCCTGGAGCACTTCCTGGAGTGCTCTATCAGTCCCTGAGCACTGCTCAGGCCAGCAAAAAATATGTCTGGCCCAAACGCTGAGTCAAGCATTATTGGGTATGACTACTATAAAAACAAAATAATACACCAAAATTTTTTTCATTTATAGATATATATCACAGAACTATTTAAAAATAAAATATTTTAACCAGTTAAAGAAATTATTGAATAAGTATATCACAATATTACCTCATTAATAATTTTTTCAAAAGATATTTAAAGACATGTAAAATGTTCACTGTATATTTTAGAAAATATATATATGTGTGTGTGTATATATGTATACATATATATATAACCAGAAATAGTACAGTGGGCAAGGTGCTTGCCTTGCATGCGGATGACCCAGATTTGATCCCAGCATCCCAAATGGTCCCCAGAGCACTAGGAGTGATTTCTGAGTACAGAACCAGGAGTAACCCCTGAGCACCGCCAGGTGTGGCGCCAAAACAAAAACATAAAAAAAAAGATATATTATGAAAGAAGACAATATCCAAAACCAAATATACCACCAAGTTTCAATTATTTTTCCAAAGCTAGTTATGTCTAAAAGACAGGAAGAAGAAAAACTCTCACAATGGTAGTAATGATCAGATTACACATAATTCCAATTACTTCTTTATAATTTCATTCTTCAATCCTTTAAAAATGGACATGTAGCACCTTTATAATGAATATGAATCAAGTATATTTTCTATGTTTAATATTTTTTAAGTTAAAAAAAATTTTAAGTCAACTAACTCAAAATCATGGAGCTCAGATTAGTACCAGGAATTTTGCTCCATGACTTGAAGGCCAGCCACATGTGCTAGGTGAGAAGGAAGCTCAGATAGAGAAGAGAGCACCAAATAAAGGGTGTTGTGAAGACCCTCCCAGGGTGGGAGAGACATGCTAAAAGTGGTCTATAGACCAAACATGACTGCCACTCAATGCCTCTCTGGCAAAACACAGTACCCAAAAGAAGAGAGAGAGAACAGGGAGGAATGCCCTGCCACAGCGGCAGGGTGGGACGGGGGGGGGGGGGGGGGGGGGAGGGGGGGAGGAAGGGGGGTCGGAGGGATGATAGGACCCGTGGTGGGGGAGGATGGGCACTGGTGGAGGGATGGGTACTTGATCATTGTATAACTGAAACCCAAGCACAAAAATTTGTGAGTCTATAAGTATACTTCATGGTGTTTCACTAATAAAAAAAAATGATAAATAAAAAAAAAAATAAAATAACATCAAAAAAAAATAAAATAAAATAAAATAAAATAAAAAATCATGGAGCAATCTGACATAGAAGAGAAAAAAAGAAAGAAAAAGTTTGGCCCTGAGAAACACCCAGGGGCTTAGAACTGTCTTTCAGGCATATGGTTATGAGTTTAATCCCTGGTACTGCCACACAAGTCCAGAGTAATACTGGTTGCTCTGCTATCTCAGTCTGACAACTATGTTCTGTGGTCTCTGGCACTGCAAGCAATTTCCAGTCGTACTGCAGTCAGCTGTGTGCAAGCACTACCACAAAGGGGTACATCCAACTAAAAATGAGTGACCTATGTGATAACAGCGACCCTACATACACAAAGACACATGTGCCTAGCCCCACCAAGTATGTATGCAAGCACAATCAGGAATTCAAACCTTAGTGGGATTCAGAGCAGAGTTTGCAAGCAACAAGGTCTGATGTGTGACCCCACCCCCTACTCCAGCAGCACCACAGCTAAAAATGCAACTACCACAACCCACCATGTGTTCATCCCCCCCGTCATCATTACAACAGTGAAGGGAAGGGGGAGAGGGGGGAGAAAAGAAACAAACAGAAAAACTAGTGTTCTCTTTCCCAAAAAGAGATTCCCAAGCATTAACAACCAATGAAGAAAATGTTAACAGCTGTGGCTTTGGCCATAATAAAATTTTTAATTTCTGTATGTCAAAAAGTAATACAAATGAAAGTAAAAGGCAAAAAAAATCTGGGGCAAAACTATTTGCAAGACATAACAAGGGTATAATATCTTCAATCAAGTGCCTTTAAAAAATCTATTAAATACTCATGTCACAAAAGGATTGTTTCTTAAAATATTAGTCATGGTCACGGTCACAGTCCTCTCATTTTTTGATTTGCTCCAGTGGGCCCAGTAACGTCTTCATTTTTTTGAGACTTCTTGTTACTGTGTTTGCATATTGAATACGTCACAGGTAGCTTGCCAGGCTTTGCCACGTGGGCGAGATACGCTCGGCTGCTTGCCGGGCTCTCCGAGAGGGGCAGAGGAATCAAACCCGGCTCAGCTGGGCTGGCTGCGCGCAAGGCAAACACCCTACCACTGTGCTATCGCTCCAGCCCAAAATATTAGTATTTTATACTAATATTTATATAGTCATTTATGGGGCCAGAGTGAAAGTACAACATGTAGGGCATTTTCCTTGCATGCAGTGGACCCAAGTTCAATCCTGGCATCCCATACAGTCCCCTGAGCACTAATAGGAGTAATTCCTGAGTGCAGACTCAGGAATAACCCTGAGCATCGCTGAGTGTGCTCCAAAAATGACCCTCCTAAAAAATGTCATTTAAAACACACATTTAGAAAATGACACATGTTCTGGACTGACCATATTAAGAGCAATAGCTTTATTGTTCCCCTCCTCTCGTCTTCCTTCTGAGGTTGTGAGGTGACACCCATGGACGCAGAAGGCCCATGCTTTGACTGCAAGGCCTGCTGGGCTCACACACTGTGGGCCAAATTGTAGCTGTGAAGCTCTCTCTCTCTCTCTCTCTCTCTCTCTCTCTCTCTCTCTCTCTCTCTCTCTCTCACACACACACACACACACACACACACACACACACTATGGTACAGCAGTAACTGCACACTTTGATGTGCCCTGGACATGAGCGTCAGTGCTGGGGATCTACCTCTCCACCGCAAGCCTCTGAGCTCTACCACAGAGAAACTCCAGACCAGAACACTTGTTTTCTAAAATCCTCACACAAAAGAATAAGTTAAACTCTAATAATTCTAATTCTCACTGTAAATTTTTATTCTGTGATGACAGTAGTCATGTCTTTATCTCACACCTCCCACAAATAATTTGAGATTTTTTTTTTACAAGAAACTGAACTTGAACCCAAATCTCATGCGTGCAAGGCATGCACTTTAAAACAACACAAAATAAATTATTTCCATTCAGCTTTGGGGCAGGAGTTTGGGTTCGGGATGGAAACATCCAAAATATGGTGGTGGGAAGGTGTAATGGTGGTAGGATTGGTGTTCAAATACTAGCACTGTAGCACTGTCCTCCCATTGTTTATCAATTTGCTCCAGGGGGCCCAGTAACATTGTGAGACTTGTTACTGTGCTTGGCATATTGAATACGTCACGGGTAGCTTGCCAGGCTTTGCCGTGCGGGTGAAGTAGCTTGCTGGGCTCTCCGAGAGGGGCGGAGGAATCGAACCTGGGTCAGCCATGTACAAGACAAACACTATTGCAAGGCGCTATTGCAAGGTGCAATGTCCTACCCACTGTGCTATTGCTCCAGCTCAAATATTAAATGTAATCAAATATTGTGAACTAGTTTATAAAAATAAAATTAAATTTGAAAAAAAAAGGCATGAACTTTACCTTACTGTTGACTTGCATTTTTTTGCATCCCTAGTTTTTAATGAATGATTACCAAAGCATCACTAACCACATACAGTGTTGAAGAGATTTAGAATATTAAACATCCTAGTACAGTCTGGGCGTGCCCATGTGCTGTTTATATCCATTAGTTCAACTTTCAAAGTGTACACTGTTATCTCTATAAGCACTCATGTGTAAAATAAATAAAGATACCTTTACATTCTTTTATAATACTATGCGCTTGTTCTGGCAATTCTGTTTTCTTCATATTTACAAAAAGAGATAAAATTTCAAGTCCTTTTTCTTTTCCTAAGCCACTCTCCACAGGAACTACATATTTAGGACCTGTAACAAAATTATAAGACAATAAATAACTTGGTTTCCCACATATTTGGAATAGCAATTGAATTGAAAGAGAAGTACTGAAGAAACAAAATACGAATCCTTACCCATTACGGAATCTGTGACACTCTTGTCTCTGGTTGTAAGAAGAATCTGACACTGATTGTCAAAAGCTTTTAAAACCCAAGGATCCCAAACATCATCCAAGATCAACAGAGACCTAATTAAAAAAATAATAATAACTGTATGGAATAACTAATTACATTTATTTTAAGCTTCCTTTTTTAAAAAAGGAATGCCCCCAATGTTTTTAACATCTGCAGAATTTGAGGAGGGAAAAAAACACAATAGATCATCCTCCTTTGTTACATTCCTTCCATAGCAAATATTGATTCAAATGAGAAAAAAAAGGGAAGATTTTCCTTTCCTGAAATTCCAAATAAAACCATATTAAAGACTTTATAGGGCAAGAGAGCCTGATCAACTGCCTGAGTGCATGTTTCGAGTATAGGAGGCCCCAGGTTTGATCCTTAATACCACATGATCCAACAAGTACCAACAGAAGCAGTACTGAGTCCTCTGCCAGGAACAGAGCCAGGAGAAGTCCCAAGCACCTCAAGGTGTGGCCCAAAAACAAAGAAAAAAAGAAGACAACTGTGTATACCATGTAAGTATTAGGAATGAATTACCTAGTACATAAAGAGAACTATGAAAATAACAGGATCTTTTTCCCAATGGGATCTTCTCCCCAATAGAATTCACCAATGCCAAGGAAGTACTAGGCTCAGGTTAGCAGTAAAACAAATCATACACCATAATAATATATGATCATGTTTCACCTATGAAACTAGAAGCTTATGTTCAAACCCAACAAAACATACTGGCAAGAGCACTACTTTCATTTGGTACCCTGGAGAACTCTATCCAAAAACGCAATTTGTTTCTGATGACAAAGAACCTCTGTGCCAACTTCTCCTTGATTTACTCAAAAACTTTTAACTCATCAGAACAGATGGGGAAAAATACAACCAAAATCTGATAGCATAATGCTACAGTGGTTTCATCTGAATGGCACACTACTTCTTCACATTACAAAAAAAGACTCAAGGGACTGACACAAGTCTGAAAATTGCAACAGCATAGACCCAACGATGTGAAGAAACATGAAATGATGGGCTTTATAAGCCATGCTCCCATACACACACAAGAGAGTAGTTACAATATTTTCCTACATGCAAATCACTTGTATTACTGCAAGGGAAGTAGGATCAAGGAAGACACTGAGTGAGAAAGCGGGAATGGTCAAACCTATTTCATTAGGAAAACAGATGTCAGTGACTATCAAGGAGAAGGAGAGGTAACAGAAGAATCTGGAGAAAGAAGCCAGAGAAAATGGAGCATATCCAGTACAGTGAGCACCCTGAAAAATTATCTCAGAGGCTTTTCATATGAATAAATAATTCATTTTAATGCAATGTTTTACCAGCTGCCTATATTTACTTCTTCTCTTATCCTATGCTAACTTATTATAGATTAAGGAATTCAGGATAGTATGGAAATAGTATAGAGGTCATAGTGCTTGCCTTACATACAGAAGAATACTATTAGATCCCTGGCACCACATTTGGTTCCCTGAGCACTACCAGGAGTGCTGTCTGAACAGGGAGAGAAACAGTCTCTTAACACTGCAGAATATGGTCCAAGAACAAAAAAGGAAACCATGGATTCAAGGTAAGAGGCTTGCATTTTCTAACAGAGACCAGTCACCAACTGACTACTAAGAAACTTTTCTTGAGAGACTTGAGACTAGACATACCACATGATGTGAAAGGTATCATGCAAAAAGAAAAGGAAAAGCAGCAATTTTAGGACAGTGACAACCACTTATTTTTAGAGACAATAAACCCATCCAGAATGATGTTCGACGGGTTGAACACAAGCTTTGCATGTGGAAGGTCCACATTCAGTCCCTGGCATCACATGGCTCTTAGAACACAGCTGGAAGGACCCTCCTAATATTTGCTGTGGCTTCAAAACCAGAAAAAGAGAATATCTAGAAAACAATGGCTCTGTCTTGACTCTCAGGTGAACAACAGTAAAGGCTATGATGCTTTCAATATGTCAGTATTTCATTCTCATTGGAATTTATACACCTACTAAATTTGACTATTTGTACCTTGGATATTTGCGTAGCATCAGAACGCGGAGACGGTCTTTAGCCTCTTCAATATTAAGTGGGAGCCTCTGAGAAAAGCTCTCATCCTGATCCAACCGTGTGCAAAGATTTTGCAGTTTCATCAAAAGTCCAGACTTGTCTTGTTTCCCGATGGAAACCCAATGTACACCCCCTGGGAAACAACCTGAGGAGGAAAAAAATAATTTAGAGCCTTTAAACAGCAGTTTTCCTTTCAAGATTTCACTAATAAGCAACAGAATAACTCATTCTTCAATTTCAGCACACCATTCATGCCTTATGTATTCACAGTATGAATTTTGCTTAGGGACAATGTTGAGTTTTATAGATATGAGAAAACTGAAGTTTGAAGTAAAACTTTATCAGTAAAATCTCATTGAACAAAATTTCACCATATTCCTCCTATGTCATCAGTAATCAGTGTATTGCAGTTTCTCAACTTCAGCATCCTTGACATTTGGCACCAGGTAACTTTATATTTAGGCTGTCATGTCCATTGAAGAGGATTTAACAATCTTCCTGGCCTCTATGCACTGGACCCGAGCTTCCCAAACTTAATCTGGCCTACCACCCTTTTCAGGGGGAAAAAAAAAATTCCCTGGAAATCTATTTAAGCAAACAAACAGAAAACAAGCATCCCCCAGTATCAAGGGAGGGTACTATGGCCCCTTCTGGCTGATTCCAGCACCCCTCTGGGGACAGTATCCTCCATTCTGAGAAAGAATGCATTAAATGCTTTGATCATTCCCCCTTCACAGTTATGACAATGAAAAATATCTTCAGTGGTGGGCTGGAGCAATAGTACAGCAGGTAGGACATTTGCCTTGCACACAGTAGGTTCAATTCCTGGCATCCCATATGGTCCCCCAAGCACTACAAGGATTAATTCCTAAGTACAAAGCCAGGAATAAGTCCTATGTATCACAGTGTAACCCAATACGCCAAAAAAAATTTTTTTAAAGAAATTTCCAAGTATTATTAAATATATGCCCGGGAGAGGGAAGAGCAGAATCACCTCTGCCTGAGAACACTGGCATCCAGTAACACAGAACTCACTCATGGTTCTCAGAGAATCTTAAAAAAAGAAGTCAGGTTCAACTCTGGGTCTTTTGCTTACTAGCTGTGCAATTTTTAACAAATCACTTAATCAGTCACATTTACTTTTTATTGTCTATCCCATCTTTTTGAAAGTTATGTGAGATTAATGATATAAAATATGTAATTTGAGGCCAGGAATGTGACATATTGGTACAGCATACATATGAGGTCCTGTGTTGGATCCCAGGCACCAAACATCAATGTTTTTTTTTTACAAATATTAAACTATGAATTAGCAATAATTGTATTAGAATAGATATTATTAGTGTTAATATTAACTGTTACCTGTTATTAATATCAACTTAAAATATTTGAATATTTTTTTACTTATATATAGAGAAGACAAAAATATTAAACTATACTCAAGCACCTCCACATAGGTAACAAAAATAAGAAAGGGGTCTCGCTGGAGAGATAGCACAGTGGGTAGGGCATTTGCCTTGCATGCCGCCTACCCGGGTTCAATTCCCAGCATCCCATATGGTCCCCTGAGCACCGCCAGGAGTAACTCCTGAGTGCAGAGCCAGGAGTAACCCCTGTGCATCGCCAGGTGTGACCCAAAAAGAAAAAAAAAAGAGGTCTCTATTGTAAAATATGAACAGGAGTATCAGATTATACCAGTGAAATTAAATTAACCAAAAATATTTATATTGTGTGGTTTTAAAAGTATAAAAAAGGCAAAAAAAAACAGATATAAAAGTCTAAATTGCATTATACCAAAGTAAAGTTCACTGGTATTCACAAATAAGTAAAAAAGAAACCTGTATCTGAAAAACTAAAGTATCTGAAAGATATATAGAGACACAGATATATATAGATATAGATATTTGTCTACTTTTTTTTCTTCATTTCTTGGCCACAAACAGCAATGCACAGGGGTTACTCCTACCTCTGCACTCAGGAACTTCTCCTGGCAGTGCTTGGAGAAGGGATGGGATGCTGGGGATTGTACTCCAACCAGCCACACGCATGGCAAATGCCCCACCTGCTGTACTATCACTCCAGCTGCACAAATATCTATCAGTGACTGATATTTATGAAATACTATTATAAAAGTTATATATGTCGGGGCTGGAGAGATAGCACAGCGGGTAGGGCGTTTGCCTTGCACGCAGCCAACCCGGGTTCGATTCCCAGCATCCCATATGGTCCCCTGATCACCGCCAGGAGTGACTCCTGAGTGCAGAGCCAGAAGTAACCCCTGTGCATTGCTGGGTGTGACCCAAAAAATTTTTTTAAAAAAGTTATATATGTCAATATACATTTCATCCTGAAAGCAACTATCAGGAAGACACTATTACTATCCTCATTCCAGAGGTATAGAAAGGTTGAATGATTTGCCCAAAGTTACAGTTAAACAAGTAGAACTGGGATTTAAACTTCCAGTGTCAATGTTCAGTTTGGGCAAGGCAACACAGTACTCTTCAGAACTGAAGCAAAGATAGTACCAGGAAGAAAGATTTCATTATCAGACCCAGTCTTAGGAGGAATGAGGTAAATTCTCCTATTTTAATTCTGAAGGTTCCTAAAGTTCCCTTAGATTTCCCTTCAGTATAAGGTAATATGCAAGAAATGGTTATTAAGAAGCCCCTATAAGTTTAGCTGTGTCTGTATCTGATGTGTGAAAGAGTTTGGAAAAGTAGGTTCCAAAGTATTATATCTGATTATCTTTAATAAATGATTTAGAATTTAGGATAAAAAGCAAGTGAAAATAATTTTTATTTCTTTTAAATGAAAATACTATTTTGTCATTTTTGTTTTGGGGTCACACCCAGTCATGCTCAGGGGTTACTCTTGACTCTGCACTTAGGGATCACTCCTGACGGGCTCAGAGAACCATATGTGGTCCTGGGATTGAACCTGGGTCAGCCACATGCAAGGCAAACACCCTACCCACCATACTATTGATCTAGTCCCTAGTCTGTTACGTTTAAAATAAGAAAAATTTCAACTACCTGTTGTTCTGTTTTCTTTTTAACTTGTGCTTTCAACTTTAAAAAATTATCCTATGAATAAACACAAGGCAAAGGAAATATCCTAATACAGGTGATTAATCTGCTCTAAGGACATTTAAAATTTAAATACCTATTACCTACATCAACAAAGGTCTTTCTCTCCTAAATTTACAGCAGAAACACTCGGGCAAGATAAACATATGCAAAAAAACTCTTCGAACTACTAGTTTTAAAAAGATAAACATCCTCTCCAAAAACATTCAGGACTTGTTCTTCAAGCCAGTGTTTTCTTCTGAACGCATATCTTGCATGCTTGTCTTTGTTTCCTTGCTTGCCTATTTTTACTCTGGAGAAGCCCATATTCTCTTTTGAACACACATCTCCCTTTCTTTCCCCTCACATCTTCCTAAATATGTTTCAGAGCAATAGTACAAGCAAGTAGGGCACTTGCCTTGCACACAGCTGTCCTGGGGTGAATTCTGGCATCTCATATGGTGTCCCAACACCTCCAGGAGTGATCCCTGAGCACAGTAAGGAGTAAAGTCCTGAGCACCCAGGATAATTTTTGTAAAATAAGTAAAATGTATTATATTAATTTAATAAATATTGTAACAAAACAAATTTATTGTAATAAAGTCATAAATTTATAATCTTATAATTATACATTTACAACTTTATTATAAAACTAATTCCAACTATAAACTCTGCTGCATCACCAAAAAAAAAAAAAAAAGACTGATAAAATGACCACCTGATCTCCAAATCTGCTATCACAACATGGTTAAACACTAAAGCACAGTTTCACATTTCAGAAAGAATCCATCTTTAATATGGGCACAAGAGGGAGCAATTTAGCCTTGAATAAGGCTTGTACATATAATTCAGAACATTTTATTCAGAGAAATGGTATATTTACTTAGAGAAAATCAGCCCATACTTTCACATGAGATCTATTCTTGCAATAATTAATAATGTAGCAACATCAGAGATATCAAATGAATAGACAACCACAGAGGAAAACATCCAAGTGTTAAAAGCTCAACAGATAAAACAGTATAAGTCATTCAAAACTACAGAAGCTCTACAATTTTCTTATCCACCTTAAAAAAAAAAACAAAAAATTTAACTTTCAACGGAAAATCAAGTTATTTAAAAATGTACAGGCAAGGACCCAGGAGACAGTACAGGAGGCAAAGTGCTTGCCATGAATGTGGCTGTGGGGTTCACAATCCCTGACACCACATATTCCCCAGATGTGACCCCAAAATAAAACATATACACAAAAACACATAGGCACGCGCATGCACACACACACACACACACACACATACACAATTATCTAGGGATATGGCCACACAGATAGTACAGGAGCTAAGGCACTTGCCTTCATGCAAATATACAAAACCCTGGTTCAAACCCCAGCACCACATATGGTCCTTCAGGTGTCTCCCCAACCACAGAGCCAGGAATAAGAAATAGGCCTTGGCAGTGCCAGATGTCACCCAACTGACAGCCTCCAAAATGTATAGGCCTAAAATAAGCACAGAAGTTTAAGAATTTAGGGTCCAGAATAATGGCCCAACAGACAGGAATGTGTGCGGAAAGTGTGGGCTTGATCCCTGACAAGGAAACTGGGGTTGTCCCCACCAAAGAAACTTAATTGTTGTTTTTGAACATTCCTGAATTTGACTAATCACCACACACACACACACACACACACACACACACACACGCACACGCACACACACACACACACATACAAAAGGAAACTTCCTACAGGAATAACCCTTAATGAAGATAAAGTTCTTGGGTTTTTTGTTGTTGTTTTTAAATAAAGTTTACCTGGGGGCTAACAGTAGGGCACTTGCCTTGCATGCAGCCAACCTGGATTCGATCCCCAGCACCCCATATGGTCCCCTGAGCACTGCCAGGAGTTGTCCTTGAGCAAACAGCCAGGAGTAAGCCCTGAGCACAGTCAGGTGTGACCCACAAAACAAAATAAGTTTACCTGTAGATTCATCTATACTTTTAAAAGAAAAAAAGGTAACTGTGTACAAATGAAATGGCAAAAAATAACAATGTTTATATACATACATATATGTATACATATATG